TTGGTTCTGCAAACTACCTTCCTGACCCTTGTCTGGAAGTGGATCAGGTGATATCTTCAGCTGCTTTTAGCTTTGCCTTTGGTTCCATAAATAAGACTCAGTCAGCGAGAGGGGAAAGAGTCAGGAGGAGGGAGCTCTTCTGGCTGGTATACCTCAGAAGTGGACACGCGCCTGGACATCCATCTTGTTCAGGGGAACTGTGACTGGAATGCTCGCCCAACCCATACCTCTAACCTGCCTTTCTGATTTCTTTTTCTCCTGCCAGGAACATAATGTAAAGAGTTAAGAGGTAGGGAGTGAGAGTGATTCTTTCATTCCTGGTTTCGATCATCTAACAGGCCTTGATTCCACCTTCACTCTGTTCATGTCCCCGAAATGACTTCTCTGCACGTTTCCCATTGGGCAAGTCATCCATGGGCCTCTAAAACTGTGTGCCTTTGAGGTTCTACCCAGGGTGACCAACAGGAGGCACCTCCTCTTGATGACCACTAGGTGGCGGTCAAGCCTCAGGAGAAGCCAGAGGGTGTGGCGACTTGAAGCAGGGGGCCAGCTGTCACTCATTAGCCCAGCTGGGGATTTCTGGCCAGGACCGCTCTGACTAGGACAGCTGTGGCGGTGGGAAAGACTCGCAGTTTCAGAAGAGCAGTAAATGCATATTCGATTTTCCTCTGTTAATCGAAATCAAACGCATCTTTCCACCACCACTGGGGATGGGGCCTGGTTGGCAGGGTGGAGGACAGAGGATGGGACTAATCAAAACTGGTTACAAAAAAGGCCCAAGGTCATCCTTGGTTCTGTTGTTGAATGTTGGAAGTGGGCTGTGAATGCAGCCTTCCCATGACTTCCCCAATCAGTTCCTGTTGCTTTTCATGCTGAGAAAAAGCCTTTTTTTCTGGACTCCTGGCTTTGTCTGTTTAGATTTGAATAGTCACCGGCATACAGCATACGTCATTTGGGACTTGGCTCTGTATTAAAGAATAAAAACCCTGGGGTGTGAAAGGGCTCACGTCTGCCCTGTCCATGGCCATTTGTGCAGAGGGAATGCTTGTGACCTTCGAACTCTTCATCTCAAAGTTTTTGGGTAAAAGGGAAAGGACAGACTCTAGAAAATCATGTTTGAAATACACAAGAGGACTGTATCTAAATTGTAAGAGACCATGTCCAGCCCACACAGGAAAATGGTATCTGGAGGTAAGTTCCAGGGCCCTGCCATAGGGCGGGTTTCAGCACTGTGCCCATCTTCCCTTCTTTCTTTCTGTCTGCTCCACGTGCACTGAAAAACTCATGGGAATTGTTTCCTCTGCAGAGTGTGCTTGAGGATAAATTTAGATATCCATTGAGATAGGACAGGAGGAAAGACTACGGGTGGTGGAAGCCTAGCCTTTTGAGATTGGAGAGTGTGAAGTCTCAGGTGCTTCACAGTGGTCCCATGCCTTCTGGACCACTGAGGGGTACTGAGCCTGGTGGGTACATCACAGCCAGCCCAGGGGCCAATTCCATGCTCTTATTTGGGCTTACTGCCTGGCATCTGCAGGCATGAGTCTCCTGGGGGGCTGGGTGGGATGTGAATGCTGCTGCTGCTGGCTGTCTCTGGGGGAAATGGGCCCCTGGAAGTCTGCCATGTGGACCCATTTGGTGCTGGGGAGGCATCACTCAGAGAAGACCTCCCCTGGAAACCCACTAAACCCAATTGTGAGGCTTTCTTCCTCCCCCACACTTTCATCCTTTGGGGCCATCTGGTCTCCAGGCCTGAACTTGAAGGATACTGAAGTAGTTCCAACCAGAAGTTGATCTCCAGGGATTTCCCCTCATCAGAGAGCTTCTGAAGGCACCTGAGTGGTGTGACAGGCCTGGGCCTCTGGCAGTCCTTCCTATGTCATTGGGCAATCGGGATCTGATACATGCCCTGGGGGCCGGGTTGCTAGAAGCTGAGTCATGCCCCATGCATGACTCAGCATTCTGAGGCAAGGAAGAGGGGCCGAACTCTTCTGGGAAGCACCAAAGGTCTGGGTGAAGGCAAATCTTTGGGTAACAGTATTAAAACTCTGTCAATTTACAGATGTGCTTTGGGGCCTTGTAAGAAAAGTTATCTTGTCACATACAGAATTAGCTTGAAGAGTGTCTTCAGAGTCAACAATTTTTCCAGCACTACCTCATTCCCTCATGGATACCTGATGAGCTGTCCCACCCTCCCTGATCCCGGGCTTTTATGGAGACTTAAAGAGGCCACTGGGGCTTAAAATGACCCCTAGAATCTCCTTAGAGTTATGGGGGCTTAATGCCCCTTCCCCATAGCTCTGGCCAGGGTCACCTCTCTGCTTTCAAAGAGTTATGGAAATAAATTTTCATTTGCACAATACTTGATAGTTTACAAGACATGTTTGTATAAACTGTGCTTACTGAGCTTGACAAAAGCCTTGACGGGTAATGAGATGATCCTTATTTTTCAGGTGAGCACACTGAGGGCCAGAGGAGCTTAGTGTAGGGCCCAGATGAGTGAGGAAAGGCGACAGCCCTGTCCAGGAGCCTTGTTCCTTCTGCCTCGCCACACGAATGACACAGCCAGCCGGTCCTCCAGGACAGAGAGCTGACAGGGATCCCCGGCACTTCTTCCCTCCTGGGGAAAATGTGGGGCTGTGATTTTCTGGGGCCAGTGCCCTGGGCTCGTCAGCAGTCTCCAAGGAGTGCTGCTATCCGTGTGCTCTCAGACCCCTCAGAGGGCGGGGCTGCTGAGTACAGAGCACATGGATATCGCAGCCCAGATGACGTGGTACAGGCCTTGCTTTAATTTTATGTTCCTGCCCTGCTGTCAGGGCACAGAAGGCAGCAGAAGTGAGTGGCAGGAAGCCTTTGTGTCTGGTTTGTGCTCTAAGCTGTGTTGCCTGATGCACTGGCCTCTGGACACGTGACGCTCTGAAGCAGTGGGAATGAGGCTGTGACCACCGAGGGGCGCTGTAAATGCGAGGTACACTCCGGATGTACCACAAAACATGTAAAACATCCCGTTAAGTGTACGTTAATCACCTCTTGGAATAATGATTTGGATATACTGGGTTAAATAAAATGCATGATTAAAATGAATTTTACCTACTTTTTGAAAATGTGACTACTGAAAAAATTAGAATACACGTGACTCACGTTATAGTCCTAATAGGACTATAACGGCTCTCCAGGCCTTACCGAATAGTTCAAAGAAAGCTGCGTTCACTTTCATATAAAGTACTCATAGGAAGCATGGTTTCCTCCCTGTTTATATGAGACAGTGTGAACTTCAGGGAAATAATTCTTCCAAAAACAAAAATACACATCTTCCTTCTTAATGGTATAACATTATTACATAGGAAAAAAAAAACAGCTCAAATGAGCAGAAAACTCCAGGCAGGCAGCCATGGCCCAACACAGCATGGCAGAGGTTTAACCCCACGAGAGATCCGTGGCCTACTGAGGTATGAAAACTCCGCAGTCGTGGGCATGAAATGCAGGCAGCAGGTGGCAGCATTTCATGGAGCGGTCTGAAGGGGAGAAGTGCCCTGAGTGAGAGGGGCATCTTGGCTTTATTTTTAAGGACTGGGAGGTCAGATGCACAAAAGCTCAGAGGCCTGGCTGGCACGTGGGAGCTTAGGTCTCCAATCTGTTGGCCTCAGGGTCAGGGGCACATCGTTAGCCCCTGGGCTCACTCTCCCTGGCACTCCAGACACACACCCCCTGGGGAAGGCTGTCAGCTCTGGAGCTGCTGTGCCTCTTTTCGTTTGCGTAAATCGAGCTTTTCCAAACAGCACCCTCTCCCTGGATTCCCACGCAGCTGGATGCCATCCCTGTAGGACAGGTGTGTCCTTCCCATTTGCATGTTCAGCAGACAGAATATTCACAGCATGAGAGCTTTATTATGGATACTGCCAGACAGACCCTTCTAAGTGTGATTACCACCATGGATAAAGGAATATTTACTGGCCACATATCCACAGCTAATATCTTGCACAGATTCTGCAGAGCAGAGGTGGGTCCCTACATTTGTGGTTTGTTTAAATGATCCGATGACCTGTCCTGCATCTTTTCCCCTTGACTGCGGGCAGGACCTGTAACTATGTGATCACTCCCAAGAGTAGATTACATTAAATGGCACAGATGAAGGGATTTTGCAGATGCAGTTAAGGTCCCTAATTATCTGACTTTGTGTTACTCACAAGGGAAGGACCTGCCCTAATCAGCTGAGTCCGTTAAAAGAGAATCTAGAGATTAGAGATAAAGGAAGTCAGAGGGATTCAAATTGGCACAGTTTTCCTACAGACTTGAAAGAAGCAAACTGTCATATTATGGGAGGGACCCACGGCAGAAGACAGCAAGACACCCCTGGGAGCTGAGGGCCTCAGTCCCACAACCACAAAGAGTGAAATTCTGCCAAAAAAGCAGTGAGCTTGGAGAAGGACCCCTTGGTGAGCCCCTGACCTGAGCTGAGGACCCAGTTAAACCGTGCCCAGACTGCTGACCCTCAAACACTGCGCAACAACAAGTGAATGTTGTTTTAAGCCTCTGAGTTTGAGGTGGTACGCTACACAGCAATAGGAAGTGAATACAGGAGGTATGAGGCTGTGTTGCAGAAGTATGTATGGCTAACAACTCCTGGGGCTCTGTTTTCAGCTGTCCATAAGAATTCCAGCCAAGCTGTGCACACTGTCAGAACAAAATTTGTTTGTTTATTTCCCAGAAAGTTAGCTTTACTTCAAGGGCCCCTGTTTAAACCCTCTGCAAGCTTCTGGGCTCCAGGTGCTGAGTGGGAGTGTGGATGGTGTGAGGAGAGGCATCAGTGCCATAGGTCACCTGAGTTCTGCTGTGAGCTTCTGGCACCCCGCCCCCCATCCCACCCCACTGCATGCCTGGAGAATGGAAAGGGTCATTCACTGTTCGGATCATGGAATTTAATTGTGGTTGACATGGGGGAAGCCTAAAACAGCAATAGTAGCAGATTGCAAAAGAGCAGACAATTTATGGATTTTACCAGATCTTATAAAATATTTTATTGTTATAAACATGGAAAAGAAACATAGTTGTATACTGGCATACCAAGACTTGGTTTTAAATCCTAAATTCTAATTTTAGAAACCTATAGCATCTCATTTCAAAGCTAACATCTCTGAAATGACGAGACACTATTTTCACTGACTTTTAAAAATACATAAGAAAGGAATATCCACCAGAGGCCCCTCTCTTACTGTGCACACTCAGGGGATCCAGCTCCTGTTGGCCGGAGCCACCGGCTTGCCTTCCGGGATGCAGCAGCCCTGTTTGACATTACCATCGCCCGTCAGAAGTGAAACGCTTTCCGCCTCCACGGCATTCTACGGCCACCCTCGTTTCCTCTGTCTCCTCAATGATTGTGGCTTCCCATTCCATGCCCCTCAGAGTAACTCTGCCCTGCTTCTGCACTTACTGGTTGCTATAATCTCTCTCATCTCCATGTAACTCTTTCTTTAAGCTTCCTAACATAGACACTTTTGAAGTTTTCTACACAAACTTCCAAAGGCTGTGACTTCCCACAGTGTTTTTTCCTTTTTTGGCCTGAGTAACATACATCCTGAGAAATCCATGAATCTTTATTAGCCTCTTTGTCCATGCAAACAATAAGAAACAGGGAAGAGGATGGCAGACATGTGGCCCATTCAAGAACTGACATGTCCCACTGGACTTACAGTCTTCCCAGAGAATATTTCTGTAGTGTATATTAATTGCTCACTTGTGAACACTTCAACCTCTGAAGCATTAGCACAGGTGGCTTTGCAAGAAACTGACTTACTGGATAGTCCCTTCATGCAAGAAAATACCCAATGGAACTGACATTACACACTGAGAGACGTCAGACCCACGGGGAAGCACGGGGCACTTTATAAGTGAAGTAGATGACACATCACACTTTGCACCAACCTGAGAGCCAACGTTCCCCCTTCCTCCTCCTTCCCTCAGAAATCTGTCACTGCAGCCGTGTAACCATGGCTGATTGAGAACTGGTGACCTCAGGGCCAAGGGGGGCTCCTGTTTTCATAAAATTCACAGATTCATGGATGGTCCCCCTTATGGTTTTGAACTCTACTGCTTAGTTGAGGAAAAACTTGGCAAAGAACAGAGGTTGAACTATGTGTCTTTGTGGGTAGGCAGACAACCAACAAGAATTTCTCCAATCTTTTTGTTTTCATGGATTTTCTGGAATTCGCATCCAGTGGTGTAGCTTATAAAGTGGGAGGCGCGTGCATGCCTCGTGTGTGTGTGTGTGTGTGTGTGTGTGTGTGTGTAGTGAGGGAACGTGCCTCCATTAATGAACGTGGGCAGGGGGCCAGGTCCACACTCTATGGAACTCTGCCAAAGGTTCCTGCCATTGCAGGAGTTCCTTTCACAACGCCAAACACAATGATTCCCAAAGGACCCTTACAGAAGTGAGTGGAAGTTCAGTGTTTTTCGTCCCATCGTGTTTTTGAACATGAGAACCATAGCCTCCTCCTGAGTACTGTGCTTTCCTTGGCCATGCTAGCACTGTGCTGTAGCCCTGCCTCCACTCCCTCGGTACAAGCCCAAGAACCAGGTCAGGCACAGCCAGTCTTTCCCTGGTGTCTAGTTCTACTTCAGTAGGTCCTCCGAGTTCCCAGAACTGAGTTCTGCCCAAAGTGGTCATGTCCTGGAGAACTTCAGAGCCTGACAACCATTTCCTTCAGAGACTTTAAATAGTGCCCTCTCAATTAGAAGAGTGCAGTGACCACTTTCAGGTGAACATGGGTGTCAGTGTCTGTGCCTATGTCATGCGGACTGCAGAAATAAAGAGTTCATTTATTCTAAGCATTGCCGATATTTCTATCTGTCCTACCTGCCCCACTTCCCATGAAGAAAAGAAAGCCAGGATAGAATTTAGAATTAAAAATAAAAGAAAGAGATTTTTAAAGAGTTAAAATATTAAAAGAAAACCCCTTCAATAAATTACTGATTATTGAATTTCAGCCGCTTCTGTCCTACTTTCCCGACTGGTCAGTTCTCCATCCTTATGAAGCATATGCCCCATGCACACTTCCCGAGTGACCCCTCGTTTTTATTGTCTTGTTTTGACTTTGGTTTGGAATGTATGGCTGCTGTAGCTGCAGCGCCTGGTCAACTTTAATACGGAGGCAATTTTAATAAATATTTGTATTTATATGAAAGGCACAATGCATAAATCACAAATAACCAAATCTTGGGAAACCCTCCACCATCTGTTCACCAGAGGAAAGGACCACTGTGAGCAGAGATGAGCCAGCTGTGGCATTGCCTTCTGGGAGATCTCCAAGTGGCTGCAATCAACACAGGTTGGACTGTACAAAACTCTAAATGTATATTGGTCTGGGGACTTAAAGATGGAAAGAGCTAATACACAGAGAGCTCTACAACACGCCAAGGCCCACTAACTCCACAGTAATAACAACAGTAATAGACAATGCCATAAATTATTTAAGTCCATTCTATAATGCACAGAGAAGTACCTGGTTAAAGCTGTTACATATAATAGAGACAGTTGGGATCTGTTTTCAGTGCAATATATCACATTTGACAATTAATAGATATAAAAATGTATTTTTTTGCTTTTCAAACATGGAACAAAGCAAAACATAAGGCTTTTCTGATAAACCCTCAAAACATAATCAGCAGTTAGATTTGCTTGGATCTGATAAAGGATGGTTATCACACTTCCTCTACATATTCATACTACTTAGCTCACACCTTAAATGCAAAAAACATGTGTGTATGTGTGTGTGTGTATGTGTTTAAAATCAGCTGAACCACGTCTCCTTACATGCATTTCTTGCAAATATTATTACCCACCTTAAAGCACGATGATGATGTAATTTTCTCCCTATTTTTTTTCACTGATTCCCCCGCCCCTTTCTTTGCTGAGAAAATACCAGGAAGATATTGAACTTTATCCGTGGTTTACTTTCCATTTCCATTTTTGAGCCACTTTTTAATTTCAATGTTGCATTATCTGAGTAATTAGATCACGAACATGGAAATCTTAAAATGTGATCCTTAATGCTGTTTTCCTCTATTTTTCCCTTTCCTCCTCCCTTTCTTCTTTTCCTTCCTTCTTTCTTCCTTCTTAAATTCACTGAAGTATTTCCTAGGTACTAGCCTTTTACTTACAATTTTAATCAAAGCTTGTCCTTGTGCCCAACCTGTGAAAAGTGAAAATGTCCCTTTGAAATTCTATTTTACAATATAGACAGATAAGTTGGGCCTTGGAAAACTGGAGTTTCACTTAAATACTATACACATTTGGTATTACACAAAGGGTGGGGGTAGGGCAGCAAAATAAATGGAACAATAACTTTTAGTCTATCTTTACAAAAGAAAGCCTCTTTCCTAATGAGAAAGTCTCTTCAGCATCACTCCCAGAGGCTGTGGAAGAAGTGTTTTACCCAGGGCTTTGAAAGGATCTCCTTCACAGCACATCCACTGCTCCCCAAGAGTCACAGGGGTTGGGATTTCCTGTTTTTAGTTGAGCAACGAATAAGCACTGGAAGTGTTTTCCATGGATGTGCTGGTTGTTTCTGGGGTGGAAACATTGTATGTTCCTGAAAAATAGAAGAGCAGCTTAGCCTGAAGATCAGCCTGCATGCTCACGGGGTGTGAACCTCTCCTACAGATCTAGGAGCTCTAGTCCAAGAGCCAGGTAAGCTTGCCATGCCCAGAGTCAAACCCATGCCTGCCCTCCGCCCGAGACCCACAGGTGCCGGAGAACAAACAAAGCTGTCCTCAAGCATGCGTGGCAGCCGACAAGACAAGCACTAACTACTTCCCATCAAACCAGCAGCCAGATTTCTACAAAAGACAGAGGGATCTCAACATGGACAGCACTCCACATGCCACCACATGCATTGGCCTGAGGACATCCACACGAGGGAACCTCTCTGGTCCCCTTGGGTTGAGGTGACTTGGGGAAGCTCTTGGGAAGGGCCTGGAAGCTGAGCTGAAGGCGAGGAGGGAAACAGAGCTGGGAAGAAAAGAGAAAACTACAGGGGAAGAAGAGGCAGAAGCAGAAGTCAGGGGATGCCAACAAAAGTGCTGAGAGCTAGGGCAGCAGGGAGGACAGCCCTGGGGCTACCACACAGGCCAAGTCAGAAGGAAGGCGGGGACTGAGCACAGGCACAGTAGGGAATATGTGTCGAGCAAGGGAAGGGACACAGTGGCCACCCTACCATCAGATTGGTGAACTGCCACTGCTAACAAGGTTTCCGTCATTGCCTGGGGGGCCCTGTGGGGCTGCTGACAACATAAACCAAAGTTACAGTGATTATGGAACTCTCAAATAGGCCAGCGTGGAGCTGCATTAATGACCCTGAGAGGCTGCCAAATGGCAATGACCAGGAATTTCCTGGGACGTAGGAAACAGAGCCCCAAATCCAACTCCTATCTGAGTGATTCAGAAACAGTGAGCACCTTTTCTTGGCTTTGCATAGTGCATATAATCATTTCATAGAATCACTTTTCACTATTTTCACTTTAACGCATATGGCAAATGCATTCCAGTGATAGTGATGGTCGAGTGTAATAGATCTAATACACCCTGAAGATCTCATCATTTCACAACAGGTCCAATTAGTGACTTTCAAAATCAAAAACCATGTCCTCCAGTGTAGTGCCTCAGACTGAAGCCCAAAATGCTAAGTCCTCCGGAATTTTGACAACAAGGAGGCATTTTTAAAAGCCTTGGTCCGGAACATTGACATGTTTCTAAATTCCACATTTGTGAGATCTGTTTGGTTCCAAGAGGCTGAAAGGAACTGTGGAGCTTGTTTTCCTGGAGCTGATAGTGGCATGGGTGTGGGGTTTCAACTTGCCAGAATGGCTGAGACTCATTGCCGAAAGCCATTAATGTTATTTATTTTGTACATCCAAGGTGGGTATTTTTACTGTCCATGTTTCTGATAGATAGCTAACTTGGGTGATCCCTCATATACGTACGCATAATTTTAGAAATGTCAACATGTAAAACAAGCACTCTCCAAAAAATGAAAAAGGAAAGAAAAAAAGGGGAGGAAAACAACCCAGAGCATGGCTCCTATAGTATGCTCTTGTAAACATATTCTTTGCTGCACCATAACCCAAAAGTATGACCCACTGAGTTGTATTTCACATGAACAGAAAGAGCTCTGTGTGTGACAAGGCCAGAAGTGTACAGTTTCCATTTTTATGGTTGACAGACAGCTCACTGCAGGCTTTTCTAGATTCTCTAAATCTTCTTCTTCATAAGTTATTAGTTGTCCATGGAAGGCAGTTACCCTCTGTACCAGCCTCTTGGTGGTTTAGGAAAACATAAGCGAGTTCCTGCACTTAACCTCTTCCCCCAGTGAGGCCATCAAGTGGGGACTGACTGGGAAAGTAGGGTTTTGAGACTCCCCATCGGGGCAATTGGCTTGGGCCAACACAGGGAGTGCTTAGTGGTCACTACATACCTGTTTTTCCAAACAAATTGTTAAATCTTCTTGATATTGGAGAACTCATGGAAAATACAGGTGTAGATGAACCTAGGGATGTTGACTAGAAAAGAGGGAAAAAAAGGACATTTAGGTGCCAAACTGTTAGACAAGGCCCTGCTTTATCTCTAGTAGAATTTTATTTGCTTCCCCCTAGTGGTCACTGCCTGACTATTTCTCATCACACTTCAAGGTGAGAGCCTGGACAAGCATGAATTTCTACTTCAAACAAATCAAGGAGGAGCACCTTGAAACACTGAAATCTCATCATCGGTATTAGGAAAATAACTTTCAAATATCTTTTTACCATTATAGAGTTTAGCATCTTCCGACAAACGTAGTGAAATACGTTTCAGTGCAATAGTTATTTTCCAAAATGAACTACAGAAAAGTCTATTATTCATTGTTATTTCTCAAATTGTGTTCTCTACTGCCTTGTGTTTCATCAGAAAACTTTTGTTTATTTCTCACTGAAATTTTATCTTAACCTCCAGTTGACATTATCTGTGCTTTTTGACTCTGTTTAAAGATGTGGGGACAGCTTCTTTTTAAAAAATATATTTTATCGATTATGTTATTACAGCTGTCCCCATTTTCCCTCTTTGCTCCCCTTCACCCAGTACCCCTTTTCCCTCCAGCAATCCCCCACTTAGTCCATGAGCATGGGTTGTGCATATAAGTTCTTTGGTTTCTTCATTTCCTACACTATTCTTAACCTCCCCCTGTCTATTTTGTACCTACAAATTTTGCTTCTTATTCCCTGTACCTTTCCCCCCATTCTCCTCCTTCCCCATCCCAGCTGATAACCCTCCAAATGATCTCCATACTTATGATTCTGTTCCTGTTCTGATTGTTTGCTTAGGGTTTTTGTATTGTTTTGTTTTGTTTTTGTTTTTTTCTTAGATTCAGTTGTTGACATTATGAATTTGTTGCCTTTTTAATGTTCATAGTTTTGATCTTCTTTTTCTTGAATAAGCCCCTTTAACATTTCATGTAATAATGGCTTGGTGGTGATGAACTCCTTTAGCTTTACCTTGTCTGGGAAGCACTTTATCTGCCCTTCCATTCTAAATGGTATCTCTGCTTGATAGAGTTAAACTAGGTTGTAGGTCCTTGCTTTTCATCACCATGAGTACTTCTTGCTAGTCCTTTCTAGCCTGTAAAGTTTCTTTTGAGAAATCAGCTGATAGTCTTATGGGAACTCCTTTGTAGGTAACTCTCTGCTTTTCTCTTGTTGCTTTGAAGATTCTCTTTATTTTTAACCTTTGGCATTTTAACTATGTGTCTTGGTGTGTTCCTCTTTGGGTCCAACTTGTTTGGTATTTTCTGTGCTTCCTGGACTTGTACGTCTATTTCCTTTGCCAAATTAGGAAACTTTTCTTTCATTATTTTTTCAAATAAATTTTCAATTTCTTCCTCTTCGTCTTCTGGCATCCTTGATTCAGAGGTTGACATGTTTGGAGATGCCCCAGAGGCTTCTTATACTATCCTAATTTTTTTTTGAATTCCTGTTTCTTCTTTCTGTTCTGGTTAAATGTTTATTTCCTCCTTTTGTTCCAAATCATCAATTTGAATCCCAGCTTCTTTCCCTTCACTGTTGGTTCCCTGTAGATTTTTCTTTATTTCACTTAGTATAACCTTCATTTCTTCCTTTATGGTGTTGCTCATACTCAGTTAGCTCTTTGAACATCCTGATCACCAGTGTTTTGACCTCTGCATCTGATATGTTGGCTATCTGCATTTCATTTAGTTTTTTTTTCTGGGTTTTGTTCTATTCTTTCATTTGGGCCATATTTGTTTGTCTCCTCAATTTGACAGCCTCCCTGTATTTGCGTCTGTGTGTTAGGTAGAACTGCTTTGACTCCCTGTTAAAGGTACCTGTAAATTGTGTGGGGTGGAGCCCCTGCTAATCTCACAGGTAGGGCAAGCTGCTTCACCAATTTCTGGCTCTGTGACTCAGAGAGGAGACTGTGCTGCTGCCTGCCTTCTGGGTGGTTGCTCAGCACTCACCCTGTTTTCAGTTACTTCACTGACTCTCCATATGCAACTGGCGCCCTTCCAGCTATTGCCCTGGTGTCAAATTTCAGTGTGGGCCAGTTTGCATATGTTTTAAGACTGTGTGGGCCCTTTAAGTGGAGTTTCCTGAAAATCCAGCAGTTTCTTCCATAACCGCAGCCCCCATTGGTTTTTACAGTCAGAAGTTTTTGGAATTTATCTTCCCAGCACTGGAACCCTGGGTGGTGTGGTCTGGCCTGAGGCTTGGACATTGCTCACTCCCAAGCTATCCCTCCCAATTTTTATCCAGTGCATATGAATGTGTGACCACCCATGCCCATTCCACAGCTGCCACTGCCTCTCCACATCACACTGCATTTCCTCACCTCTCTGCTCCATCTCCACATCTCCACCCCTCATACCCATCTGGATGAATATAGGTTCTTTAAATCCTTGGTTGTTGAACTTCCATACAGTTTGATTTTCTCTGACAGTTCTGAGTTTTATTTGTTTTGAGATTTGGCTGTAATTCTTTTTGTGGTTGTGTAAGGAGGCAAAGCATGTATACTGACACCTCCATCTTGACCAGAAGTAGGGACAGCATCTTAATAACAGTTCCATTAACTGTGTTTAATAGGCCAGATCAGATGAGAAGCAAAAACATTGGAATCATCTAAGCTAAAACTGGTGTAGAGAGAGAGGTTTTTCAAAAGTCTCTACAAGGGGAATAGTTACCTTTGAGTGCTGTGAGGACCATCTTGACAGTGAAAACTTTTTCAGCAAAGCTTCCTGTACCTGCATTGTTTAAAAAAAACTGTTATAAATTCAACATGCTGCAAGCACTTCAGACTTTTCTAGGACCATAAAACCATCATGTTCTTACCTTCTGATCCCAGAGGCATCCAAAGAGCAAAATGAATAGTCCCTGGAAAAAAGAATTGGGAAGAAGTACATTTAGTCATATTCTATTGTCCAGCAAAAAGGAAGTATTGTTAACCTGTCATTGAATTTGTACTACCTCTTCCCACATCTGTGTTTATAGAATGAGTCCAGCAGATGATAATATTAAAAGGGATGCAGTAGGTCCACACCAAGAACTTTTAATGTTTGAATGTTATAAGGATATTTTCTACTTTCTTATTTTCCCCCAGTTGTGAAGTGGAGGTCCTGCTGGTTATGCTATCAGGCATACCTCTTATGCCTACAGTAACCCTCATATAGTTGTGATGAGGACCTGGGCTATGGGTTGGAATAATCACTCCATTTTAGCCAAAGCATATTAAAAATGTCATTAGACATGGGCCCTCCCTATGATTTGGAGCCATGGGCCCAATAGCAGAAATTAGAATTTGTATGATCTGTTTGTGAGTATCCAGGGGGCTATGAATGTCTCAGTTTCACCTCCAGACCACCTGCCTCCTCACCAGCTCATGGGGGAGGCCCATGTTTTCTACCTACCCACCAGTTAAATCAAAATTAAGCATTTCCTTCCTGTGCTCCAAAGCCTTGTTGTCTGTACCTCAGCTGAAGCTTTTCTAACAAACTGACTTATGTTATAATGCGTTATGTGCTGCAGGAGAGCAAAGAGGGTGCCTTTTCCATTTTAGTGTAATACATCAAAATGCACACCTTACATAGGACATTCATCCTTTCGTTCTTCAGCAAATGCTTTCAGAGAACATACTATGTGGTGCATAGCATTCATTCATTCATCCAATGGTTATTAAGCACCTACTTTGTGCCAAGGTCACATTTAGGCACTAGTAATAAATAAGACAGACGCTGTCCTTGACCTCTCAGAGACAGAGCTCATTTAATGCTTGTGGAAATTAACTGGAAAAATTAGTTGGCTTAATAGGTGGTATCAAGATAATGTTGGGTAAATAGAAAATTCTATGTTGGGAAGGGACTTTCCTCCTACTTGGATTATCAGGGCATTTAGAAGAGAGTTGCTTGTGCAACTAAATTATGATGCGGGTGATAAGGGGAGTGAGATTCCATGGGAGCAGAGGAATGTGTCCTTTCTACCTCACTGAGTTCTTGTGATTACTGCTGTTTAGGGCTAGGTCCTCCTCTGAACTAACATCCTTCCCCATTCCCACTCCTGTTTGTGTTTCTATCATTATTTGTCCCACCTGCGTAGAAACTTCCTGTGAGACTGGCACTACAGAACTTACCTGGAAGGCATTGAGGAGGGTAAATACAATATGGAACACAGCATTGCTTCCCTGGAACACAGTGGCAAGACCAAAACCCCAAGTGAGCCCCAGGAGTGGTGTGAGGACCCCAATGCTCTTGCTAATCTGAAATAGGCTGCTCTTCTCCTGCTTATTGGGCTTATCTCCAATGGAAGGTCTCAGGATCTTGGTGATGACCACGACTGTGATGGTCACGTTTACCACCACGATGATGAGTGCTGGGATGACGAAGGCTAGTAGGGCCTTGGTATCCTCCCAGTTGAGCCAACAGGCATTCTTCCGTGTGTAGACTTCCTGGGGCTGGGTGACTCCCACTGTGATGACTGAGATGATGAGAGGGCAGCCGTAGCCAAGGGAAAAAGCAATAGCTTTCTGAAAGGACTTGCTTGCATCATGCAGGATGAAAACCAGCCGGTAGAAGAGCATGAGACCCAGAGTCAGCATCCAGAAAAAGACACTGAGGTAGAAGAAGTGGATAAAAAAGGTGGCAGCCACGCAGGCTGTCTCATTGAGAACGTAGTGATGGTCCCGGATGGTGGAGGCCACAATGAACCAAATGTCAGCAACCAGAAGGGAGGCGGCAATGTTCACTATGCAGATGTGACGCATATAGGAAGTCCGATTCTTGGTCACTGATTTCCACACCACAGCTTCCACAACTAGACAGGCTGCCAAGCTCAGGATGGAAAAGCACAATCCAATATAGGAAATTATATCCAGCAGTATTTTCAGGAGAGAATCAGGGTCTGGGGAGTCAGGAGACATGAGGATGGAGAATGACGTTATGTGGTCACAGCTGCAGAAGACACTGTCCCCATCAACTTTTGTATAGCACCCACTGCTATCCCACCCCCCTGTGTGGTTGGCAAGGGTGAAGTTCCAGAAGACACATTGTGGTTTCCCACCTAAGGGCTTGTTGTTCTTAAAAGTCATTGAAATCCTGAATGGCATGGTTATTTTGTGGCTGACAGTGGTTGTCATCACTAGGTTGTTTACAAAATTCTTTCTCTGAGCATTCTGGTCAAGTATTGTTTTGAGAGTTGGGAATGCCATGGTGACAATAGATGCACCTGGCTGCAGGTGTCCCAGATGGTACTCATCAATAGCCACATTACCCCAGAGGTCAGAATCTGGGAAAATGAAGTCCTGCTTGTAGGGTTTTGGGGTACCAGATTTTATGACCATGGTCCTCATCTGCACATTAGTTTGGGAGAAAGACAGGATGGTGCTGTCTTCTGACTGTAATGCTCGGGAAAATCTTTCCACTGAATCCAGTAGCTGTGAGCTGTGATTGGTCTGTGGCTTTTGTAACACCTTCCACGTATTCACGACAGGCTTGTTGAGGATGACATTAACCGTACAGAGAACGTGCTGTAATTGACATAACATGGGATCAATCCAAACAAATTCTTTTGATCATAAAAGAGAAAAATAACAACTCCCTGGAAACTGGTTGCATGGGTACAGGTAAGAAGAAAAGAGAAGAGAAAAAGGAGGCATCCCAGGCTGTGAAAACCTGGGACCCACCATCTTATGGTAGGGGGTTAGCAGAGGATGGGTTGGTCCCCAAGACAGTGAGACTTCATTAAATGTTTAGCAATAGTGACAGTGAGAACCACCCACAATCACTCACTAAAGCCAATTCAGCCGGCTGGCCAAGATCTTCATCAATTGTTCTATTTTATTTTTAGTCCCAAGCTTGTAAAGCTTTTTGGTGGCTGGTACTTCATCTACAAGCTAATTACAGAAGACCCTCTCAAATACTGAACATCAAATAAGCAATGCCATTATTGTCAAAAGCATCTTTCTTTTTTGCTAAACATTTTGATTCTGTCTCTCACAAACTTGGGCTTGTCATTTTCCATTTGTGCCTTCCATTGACATAATATCTGTACCCTTTTTTTACCTTGTTTTGTTCTCTGAAACTATGAGTCCTGTAGTTACTTGAATGGTGGCTCCCCAAAATGGCATGTTCTATGCACAGACCCTGTGAATGTAACCTTACTTGGAGGAAGGGTCTTTGCAGGTGTAATTACGTTAAGGATCGTGAGGGGAAATCATACCAGATCACCTAGGTGAGCCCTAAATCCAGTGATAAGTATCCTTATAAGAGACAGAACAGGAGAAGGTAAATGGAGCAGAGAAGGCCTTGTGAAGACAATGTTGGAGATTGGAATGAGGCAGCCATAAGCCAAAGAAAGCCTGGAGCTACCAAAACCTGAAAGAGGCAAGGAAAGATTCTCCCCTGGAGCCCTGAGGAAAAATGCCCTGGCAGACACCTTGAATTTGGACTTCTAGTCTTGAGAGCTACAGAAAATAAATTTCTGTCATTGTCAGCCACCCAGCCTGTGGCAACTTATTATAGCAGCCCTAGGAAATCTATATAACATCCTTAGACTCTTGTTCCCCAAACCGCTTGCCATTTGGCCTCTGGTTGTGTTTGGCCAATGGAAAACATTGACAGGAAATGGGATGGTGGGTGAAGAAAAAAGTTGAAATATATTTTTCTGCTACCCACCATACCACACTCCCTCATCTACACTCTCTGCACACATTGTTGGCAATAGCTATGATCCCTCCTCCAAGGATTCAGCTTACAGTTAGGTATAGGTGCACTATTTCCTCTCCTCTTCTCTTTAGTCCCAGGGGTAGTAATGGCTCCTAAATTTTATGGTCTCTGAATGCCTCACCATCTATTTTTTTTAATACCAGCATTATGTCTTTACACATCCTTTTATTAAAGTCTCTTCCTCAGTATTTTTGCAGGCAAATTCTCTTTCCTTCCAGAGCTCTGACTGCTTCAAAGTTCATGTTTAGTGCCAGACAACTGACAATCCTATTCTGAAACCTTTAATTTCTACTTTTCCTAGAAAGAAGATAATAATTCATTCTACTCCGATGAAGAAACTAAAGCAGAGACTCACTAAAGAAACCTCCTTAAGGCCCCAAAATGACTACTAGGAACACTCCCTGATATCCTAAAAGCCATAGATGGCAAATCATGTTATGTGACTCGTATACCTAGGGCATTGCTCTGGAAATGACAGAGAGGAAGCTATATTGGGGAGGTGCTATCTTCCTTGAACACAGGTCCTGAGGGGTGAAAAGACAAGACCCCCCAAACTCCTGTGAATCTTAAACAAACTCACCTTCATCATTTCTGAATTCACTTGGACTGGAATTGTTGAGAACAAATCAAGGATGTTGATAATGGCTCCCAGGTTCCCAGGAGATGAACTGACTTCATGTACCACTTTCTCTGTGCTATCAGAAAGATTCTTCAGGTACGTGGGCAGCTTCTTGTCCTGAGAGGGACTCTTGGTCAAAGCCTAGTAACACAAAAGCCAACACAAAGAAAAAACTTACTGATCAGTCCAGTCATCAAATCCTGCTGATCCATCCATGACAAAATTTTTCATATCAGTAGTCTCCTGCCTTTATCCAATTCCATAAGTGTATCCCATAATATAACTTACTTTTCTATTAATCTGTGCATGCCCTTCAGAATGTAATATTACATAATACCTCAGCCATAGGAAAACAGAAAAACATATGTCAACCTAATGACTTTTTTTTTTACAAAGGAAAAGTAGGTGTGATTGCTAGATTGGAGCTGAGTAAAAGTGATACTTGAATGGTCTGTATGGAAGCATGTTTGCTACTTTTTTCTTTTTATTATTATTTACTTTGCTGGGCATTAGGGTGACTGTCCATCCCAATTTTCCTGGGACAGTTCTGGCATATATCTGCTGTCCCTGTGTAATTATTAACAGTACCCTCTTTTATTGTCAAAAAGTATCCTGGTTTTGATGATAAATGATATTGTCATCCTCTTTATAGTGATCGTAGTTGTGTTTTCTAACTTATGGCTAAAATTAAAGGATAAACTCAAGTTTGATCTTCTCTGTGAAGAACTTTGATGAGTGTTCCAACCCAACAGAATTCGTTCCTCTGAATGCCTAAGTATTCATTTTATTTCATATATTTCACATCTATATTTCTACCAATGTCATCTTGTGTCCTAATTTAAATGTCTCAAATTAAATTATAAGTCCCTTAGTAATGTGAACCATGTGTTATACTTCCTTCTATTTTCTCATATCCCATAATATCTAACATAGTACAAGTCATCTAACTTGGCATATAGTAAGTGTTCAACAGTATATGCTGAATGGATAAATCAAATGAAGCATAATAAGCCACCATGCCTCTCTTCTATTGAAAATATATAAAGGTATCTAGCCCTAGCTTGTGTGGCTCAGTGAACTGAGTCACACAGAACCAAAGGGTCACTGGTTCTATTCCCAGTCAGGGCACATGCCTTGGTTGTGGGCCAGGTCCCCAGTAGGGGCGCATGGGAGGCAACCACACATTGATGTTTCCCTCCCTTCCCCTCTGTCTAAAAATAAATAAATAAATAAATAAATTTTAAAAAGAAAATGTACATAGGTATTTAGACTTGGGACCATGACCTATCATTGAGTTCAAATGATAATTTCTATCTTTCTCAATTAGGATAATTCATATCTTCAATGCTTTGTCCATTGTGGTCCAACTCAGATGCCACGTTTTTCAAGCAGAACTTCCTGATTATCCTAGACAAAATTAATGTATATTTAATATCTAAATTTTCTATCAAATCATATTTGGCCTTTTTACCCTGATAATACCTATTATAAATAATACTTTGCACATAGTAGGTATTTTTAATGAATTTGTTATGAGACAAGAGGAGAGACAGAAGAAAACTAGATAAGACACAAATTCAATATCACTCCTATTCCTCAGTTCTTTCTCCAAGGATAAGAGGATTTGGAACTAGTTGGAAGATGTCACCAACTGCTATAACCCCACTAGTTGCCTTATCAGTATTTATATAATGTAACTCATGGAATTCTAGGAGCCTCTAACTTTATATGACTTAAGTATGAGGTAGCATTTATCTATTTTGGTGGAAAGAAAGGAATTTTCCCTTACCACATGGCAGTAACCTCTACTCCAGTTAAGAGAGGCAGAGAGCCCCTTCTGCTGTAAGGTTACCTCTAAGGATTGAGGAAATCTCAGACTGTAAAAGCATAAAGCCCAACTTTTTTTTTGCACTGAACCTCATTTTTATGTTGCTTCTCTTTCTGAAAAGATTAGAGCTATATGCTTGATATGAAAATTATTCAAAGGAAAGCAGGTAGAGAGGATGATACTACGTGCCCCTTATAAAGAATGGATACAAGATACTGAGAAGACAAAGTAAAGGTATACAGCTGATTTTACAGCAGAACACATATTTTGTTATCACCATATTTGTATCTGAGCAATTTTTAAAGCATTTCTAGGAATGTATTCTTTTTGGAAATAAATAAAAGTAGTTTTGAGAGCAAAACAAACCAACTCAAGGCCCATTTTCCTAAGTGCTAAGAAAAATGGTAAGCTGGACAGATTACCCCACAAAGGGCACAGAGTCAAAGGTCTAAGGATCACCTTGGCCTGCTGGAGAAGATTGTTTATTGGTGCAGAGATGCAGTCATTTCTCTTCAGCTGCCATTGGGAGCCTACACATTTGTAAGTCATGATCCCGCCCATGGGACTTCCAGGGCTGCTGGGCAGGTGTGAGAACTGGCAGAGCTTCTGAATGACTTTTCCAGGCTCCCCAGAACCGATGCTGGGATCTTGGCATGTGATGTTCTCTCCTGCATTGGAAACAAGGAAACAAAAGGGATAAGTGAAAGGAGGAGAAAAGGCAGTGGAAATGAGGTCTGGCTTAGGTAGAATTTTGATGTTTGAACTCATCTTTCCCTTTACTTTCAGTGACCATTCTGGAGGTAGCCAACTTCATCATTTTTGCCCCTGATTCTCCAAAGCCTCTTAGTGCTTTCCATACATATCTGACTTCAATCTAGACTTAGTATGTGATGTTCTCTTGCTTTTTCTAACAGAATTTATATTCCACCTCCAAACCCTAGGAATCTTCTCTCTGCTGTCTGGGATATCTAAGCCATGGAAAATAATGAGCTTAATATACGCTTGTCCAAAAAAGTTATATTCAGGTTTCCAGGAATCTTAGGGACATAATGCTTCATTTAAGGGATTCTCAACTCTAGCCTGTTAGAATCACCGGGGGAGCTGGGACAAGACCCATGTCCAGGCTCACTCTAGCCCAAGTAAGTCTGAACCTCTCGGGCCAGAATTTAGGCATCAGCAGTTTTTAAAGTTTCCCTAGTGATTACAACATGCAACCAAGGTTGGGAAGCATGTGCTTGATCCAAAGATATAGTTAGTAGTAAATATTCCAGGCCCCACAGCCTGAAAATTTTGGCAATATTTGTGAGAATTTGTTTCTTATGGTCTCCCATAAGGTGAGTCTATTTCACTTCTACTCAAGACCAGGCATGACTGGGAAAATGGCATTTGTCACAGAAGCTTTCACCTCCAAAGGACCCTGATTCTCTATGAGCAGATCTTTGTCCCACCAACTTTTAAATTTATAATTAATGGAGTTCGCAACAATTGTATAAAATCATGAAATACATGAGTAACATTCTACTCAATAAAGGAAATGATATCAGACTGGGTATGAAGAAAGAGATGAAGAACAAAGATAAGTGAAGAAACCAGGGTGAGGTCTGGGCTCAGCTGGGAGTGAGATCTGGGAGTGAGGAGGAGACTTCGGCCACCCCTGGAAGAGGTGTGCTCAGAAGGGTTGGGGACTGTGACTCAGAGAGATAGGGGACTCGAAGTTGCTTCCTGCTTTGGTCCCAGGGCTGAGTTAGCAACCCTAACTCAGCTCATTTGTGTGAGGATAACCACAAATCACTCATGGAACTCAAATGAGCTTGGTAATAGAGACATGTATCCTTACATTAGGGGTCCTGTTACAGAGGAGATTTCTGGGGAAGGGAATGGCTCAGGCAGGACGCCCAGGACCATCAATTATCCACTTGTTCCTCTGTTGCTACAGAGGAGAGCTCTTTAGCACAGGCTATTATGAAATGTTTCCACAAATCATGACCTTTTACACTGCAAATATTAAGTGAAAGGGTATTGGCCGAGTGAGAACAAAGGAGGGGAAAAACAGTTACCTACCTATTTTCAGATTGATTCTTTTCATGTAGCCCAGTCTTAGGGAGACAGTACTAGTAGGGACACTTTTCCTTTGCTGAAACCTCAAAGGGGTCTTAGCTCCACACAGACACTTCCAACTCTTATCCACCTGGTGCAGTGTGTAGCCTCCCAGACTCAGTTGAATTACGACTTCATCCACAAGGCTTTCTTGGTCACTTCCTCCCCACCTATCTATAACCTTCAGGGTTAAACCAGGCAGCCTCTTCTGGCCACCCACAAAGTTTAGCACTTCACCATTATATGTGATAACATTCTTTATCATACCTATCTCTCCCCTCGCTTGGGGACAGAAAACATGGCTTATTTCTTTTCAAATTCCCATGCTTAGCCTAATGTATACCACATGAAGGTGCTGAATATATATTATTGAATAGATGAATGAGGGAGTGAATGAGTAAATAAATTCCTGCTCATGATTACAACATTTTTAAATGATTGAAAACACTCTCACCAGGCACCAGATGAAGCTTCATAGATGGACTGTAGACTGAATTATCAGCGGCATTGGTAAAGCGGCAGGACACATCAACATTTTTTGGACACCAGGAAGCTGAGTTTGCTGTGAAATGGAATTTGTAGCACACTTGCTTTCCATTAACTTCTTTGGCTAAAACAAAATTGTTGGAAGAATTGAGTCACAACATGAGTATCTGAAGCACAGATTTTGTTAAAATGATCCACAATGAATACCCTTGTCCAACCTTTTCCCAGGAATATGCCACACTCATTTTTTAAATGTGGTTTTAAAAATGCTTCCAGCCTAGTAGTAAGCCCACATTTGCATATATGCTAGCCAAAATGTCACCATTCATGACTCCAAATCTTTGCCCACACAGGTTTGAACAGTCAGAAAGCCTTTCAGAATGCCCTCTGCCTTACTAAGTCTCATGAGGTCCTGTGCATTTATCCTATATTGCCTTCACCGAATTGGTTTCGAGTCACCTTGTTATGGGTCTGTCCCTGCACTAGATCATAAAGTCTTGGAGAGAAGGTACCTTGTCTCATTGATCTTTCCATCACCCAGTGTCTAACACAGTGTTTGGCACATCAAAAGAGCACTGAATGTATACATGCTGAATACAGTATGTTGAAAGGTTTGAGTGTTTCAATATCCAGACATGCAATTCTCTCTAAACTTTCCAGACTTTCTGGGTCCTTACTTTTCTAACTTCCAGTGTTCTTTTGAACTGTATTATTCATTTTGAATATTTAATGTTATATGCATTATCTTTTATGATACAAGCCTGTCTACATATTAATATATGTGACCTAATTCCTTTTTCTCCTTTTCATTACCTACATTTGGTGTTTTGCATTGAGTAGGTCTTTAAGAATAGTTCATGAAAAAATGAATGAGCATGCAAATTGCTTATGACTGTGTCTGTGTCTTGACATTTGGGGATGTGAGCTCATGTTTGGTTGACCTTATTCTGTAGCAACCTGAAGAATCTGGACTGAGGGTACATTCTACCAGAGAGTTGATTTTTTTTTTCACCAAGTGCCATAGGGAGCTACCAATGGACCACTTTACCTCTCAGTTTGAAGTTCCTGGATCACATAGCTAGTATAAATTCAAACCCCAAACCTGAGTGAGGACAGGATAGTTATAATTTTCAGGGAAAATTTTTGCCCACCCAGAGGCAAGGCCAAGCTCCTAACCCAGGCAGGTGAATTTTGCTTTTCTGGCCTATTTTTTAAAATGAGCATTCCACCTTTCAAGGATCCCAGCATTGTGCTGGTGGGGTGGTGTTTCCTTAGCTACTGCATAGGGAGCAAGAAATTTACTTCCATGGCCTTCAGCACCTTAAAACCCAAGGCTCTGGGTTCCTTATATTGGCAGATGGCCTCAAGGAAGCCCTAGTACTAGCTAAAACATTATGTCTATTTTTCTTTTCCTCTATGTTTGGTGTTTGGCTATTTTTCTTTCTTGCATGTTCAGCTGTTCATTTAAGAGGATTTTTGTAGTACTTTCATGGTATGTTGATTCATAGCTTGGAGGGAGGGCCTATCAGAATATCTCGTCAACTACACTGAGGAAGTGGAAGACCTGTGAAGGTATCTTAACACTGTCTTCATCAGTGCCCACCAAAGCCAAAGGGCTCCACCCTCACAGACTCTCAAGATTTTGCCACAAGCCAAATAAAGTAAAATAGAAAGTAATAATGGCTTATGGGATTCACAATGTTATGTTCTGTCTCTGATTAAATCCCTATGTCTATTTTAAGAGTAAATTTTTAGACTCATAGTATTTCCACATGTAGGAAATACAATGTCCTAACAGTTCAGCAATTGGCATCTTACCAGCAGGAAAGGACAGGGAATCCACTTGGAAAGTCACTCTGTAGTCTTCATCTTCCTCGACACAGCACTTGAGGGGATGGGAACCTTTGCATGGAATTGCAGCTTCTAAAGGATCCACCATGATGTTTGGCTCTAGAGGCAGCGGGTGAACAGTGACATCTTTGGTTGTGATACTGTATGAATTCTTATATCTAAACACACAGTGATAGGTTCCTGAGTGGAAGGAAGCAAAAATGAAATGGAATTAAATCATCATGCCACAAAGGCATTTGCTGGGAAGGTTAAGAAGAGACTTAGGTGTCCCTGTCAAGCTTTCACAAGGGCACACATCTTCCTGGACAGTGGGTAAGATAATGCTTGACAGATTCCCCTCCCAGGTGCTCTGTATTAAAAAGATTAACCAGGAGCCACCTACAGACTCACTTACTTTCAGATAAAATTAAGTGGCTTATCCAAAGTCATACAGTCTATTAGGGTGGAATCAGTTTCCAAAATAGTTTTCCAATACCTACTCTAAGGCCCTTTCATTAACCAGGGTAGAAATGGGAAACTCAGTGTGTGCTAGGAAGGGAAGTTCTTTGAAGAGAGTTGTCACTCAGGTGGAACTCTGTAACGTTGTGATGTCCCCTCTTTCCATCTCTAAGTGAATAGGCTCCTCAATTCCAAGGACACCATGGCACCAGAAAAGAGTTTGTGTGGGGAGGGAGAGATGGGGGGGGTGGATTCTTGGGAGAGCTCAACCTGTGGACCCTGGAATTAGATGTCTGATGTCTCACTCTTATCTAGAAAAGTCTAAAGAGGCTGACTGATCTTGCTGGAGTAAGAGGGAAGGCAGCAGCAGGAGTAGCCCACATGCCCAGCACTGGGTGAGGTGGAGTGGACTGTGGAAAGTCCTTGGGTTGAGCTTCTTGAAAGGACTTTTTCCGAATGAGTATTATATGCCAGGGCCCCTCAGAGGGTGAGCCACCATTTGAGCTCCTGACATGGGGACAGTGTAGGAAGATGATAGCAGTATCTACAATTTAGTAAGACACTTTAACTTTTTTTTTTTTACATTTCTTCTCTTTGCCCCAATTCTGAACAAGCCAGAGCAGCAGCTAGACAAAGGAAAATCAGGAAGAACAAAAACAAAGAAGAGACTCCTTTCAATTCTGTTGGGAGAGAAGAAAAATTTAAATTTAATATAAAAATCAAAGTGTAGTTGATTTAGATGAGGTTATTTTAGTCCTTGAGTATGAGAATGTTTAACAGGTGAATGTGATGGGAAAGGCTGTGGTTCCTCCTAAGTACTGCCCAGTGGAAGGAAAGAGCAATTTGACAGAGCTAGGTGTGACTTCAGCCTGGGAGAAAAATACTCTCATTTCTTGATTTTTTACTGCCAAGTCCAGCCAAACAGTAACTAGTTCTTTCTACAAAGTTGCCTGGTCTTCTCACAAAAAAGGGGAGAAGACCTGAATTTGGACTGATTAACCTTATAGTTAATGAGAAACCTCGGGGCGAAGCAGTTCAGAGGTGTCCACAGAGCCAGGGAGGCCCAGTCTCACCCCGCGCTGTCATTTACAAGATGTACAATCTCGGGAAACGTACTTAACCTCCCCAAGCCTCAGCTTCCTCATCTGCAAAATGGGGATAATAATAGCACTATCCTTTCAGTTTATTTTTTTAAAATAAATTAACACACAATACATAACAGTGTCTATCACATAGGAAGAGCTCAAGAAATGTCACCTATTATTGCAGTGGTTCAATCAAATTCTCTCTTCCTCCTACCCCCAAAGATTTGTGTTTCTTCCAAACATGGCTAAAATATAGAAATAAATAGTAAATAAAAATATTTCTTTCTTTGGAACCAGACATATAAACCCTTTACCTAGATTATTTTGATACCACAATTGGGTAAAACATTCCCAAGAGTCTGGTAAAAGTATCTTTAATAAAAATCCTCTTAAATTCCTGGCAAGAACACAGGCTCTAGAATGAGAGAGACAAGTTCCAGTCCTGGCTCTGCAACTTAAGGTGTAGAAACTTAGGTGTATTTATTATACTCTCTGAGTCTCAGTTTCCACATATACAAAATGGGTATAATGACCTCTTGCCTGAAAGGGCTGTTGCATAAAATGTGATGACATATTTAATGTAAAGTGGCTGGCACAGACAGGTCCCAGGACAGGCCCTCTGTGGACGGTAACTACTGCACTGTGTTTCCAGGGCTCCGGGCAGCAGAATAGGGTAGTGGCCTCTCACTCACCATTCCACTCCCTCGTCGAGGTCCTCACTGTCAGCACTGACTCTGCTCCATCAGGATGCCTCCTTGTGGTGTAAAACCTTTCATATATTGTAATTCCAGCAGAAGTTTTCCAATACACCTCATCATAGTTACTCACATCACTGATGCACTTTATAGAAAAGTTTTGTCCCTCAGAAACAGAAATTGGGTCCGGGGTTATTGTTAGGTTGGCTGAAAGAATGCAAACAAAACAGACAAAAGAAAACCGACAACAAGTACAATGTTTAGTCTTTCTGGTGCCATCGACACACAAGCGAAATTTAAGATAGAGACAGAAAGTGTGGACCGTCCTGACTACTTGTGTCAACGCGGGATTGGTACCTTGCTGCTCCTGGGCTTTACTTGTTTCTAGGCTGTTCCTGGTGGTGCTCTGAACTGTACTCATTTCCATCACATGCCTTAGGATCTCGTGCACTTCCCCTTTGTGGCTGGATTTATCTCCTGATGATCAGCAGAGTGAAAGGTTGCAAACTTAGGGATGTTAACTTAACCCAAGCTCCCCTCCAACCTCTTCTGTGACACCTCAGGGGGACACTAAATGGCTCAGTTCTTAGAACACTTCGTTCTTTAGTTTTTGAAAATACTTTTTAGAAATTATGCTGCATTGTATTTTAATTTCTTTCTTTCTATATGTCTCCTCCATAAAAATGTGAGCCCCTTAAGAGCAGGGCTCTTTCTTCTGTGTCTTTGCATCCCCAAAACTTAGCACCTGAGTCTAGAACTCAGTCAGTGCTTACTAAACAGGAGTGCTGTCTGCAGCTACATTTGAAGTAGGGGGATCACAGAGTTTACTGCTCAAATATGAACTGGGCCATAGAGGCACCCTAACTATGTCTCTCTACATTTACTCATCTTTCTGAGAATTTCCACCTAGGTTCATGAGAACGTATTCACTGAGAATTTCAATAAGACCTCTACAAATATAAAAACGTATATGAACGTGCCACTATTTTTGCCTCTAGATCTTGAAGCATGTCTTTCACATGGTTGACATTTCAAAATGCCATTCACTTGTGTCTTCTATCAGTGAACAAGTTCCTGACTTGAGCCACTGAGGCTGGTCTGCTACTCTAATCAGTGTAAAATCTTATCTCTGGTCATAATCAGAAAAAATCAGGGTTTTCTATAGTGCCCTGGGAGGGCAGAAATTGGGATTCAAATGTTCACATACAGCTCTGAAGTCACACAAGCATGGATTACAGCACCCCTTGCATCACCCTTACTGGCTGTAGGAACCTTGAGATGGTGATTGAAGGATTAGTGGATTCTGAGAGAGAAAAGGAAAAGCCTCCTGGGCTCTTTTGGTTCTCAGATGAGGTTCAAACTACCAACCCAGTGGTTTTCAGCAAAGGCTGCACATGTCAGCCAGCCAAAGGCCCATAAAGGACACAAGTCTTGAGTTAAAACTTGCTGTGTACAACTGCACTCACTACAGACAACTGCGAATTGCTCAAAAGATCTGTGATCCTATGATGAGAGTGTTTTCAGATAAACCTAATCTTGCTCTTTGTAAAAATGCCAAGTCACAAGAACAGGAAATGTGAGTAAGTGTAACGAGCATATTTATAGTAGTCCTTTCTCAAAATTGTTTAGGCAAGGGAGGTTCTTATGATTTATTGTAATAGTTCATTTTTGTAAGATCGGTGGAAAAATAAGTTTGCTCTATTTCTGCAGATAGAGCTGAAGCTACAACGGTTTATGATATGAGAAGAAATGCTATTTTTAAGGGGCATAAATAAGTTGAATGAATTGAAATATTTAAAAAACTTGTTATAACTGTAAAATAACTGCAAAGTATAGGATTGCTAAAGCTTTCTGCAGCACTCTTCCTAGAGCAGGTGAAATGGGAGAGGAGGGATGACAGGGAGAGGTGAAGGGTGTTGGGGACTGAGCCAGGCTATTGTAATTCAAGGGAGAAAGAATGAAATTATGGGAGGAAAGGGGGAAAATTAGGAGCATTGCCCTCATTGTAAATTCAAGATTAAATAGGACTAATCTGAGTGTGAAACATCTCCCGTCCACTTCCTGCCTTACCAGCATAGGCAGGCTTTCCTTCCCTGCAGTCAGGTTCCCATCCCACCCCTCCCCTATTTTAAAGACTTCATCTGAACTTAAATGGCACAGAGGGAAATTCTCTACTGTTTCCCATTTTGTGACTCACCCCAACCACACTCCCACCACCAGGGAAGGCCCTGCTTAATTGGCTCATGGATACTCCCAATTGACTCACAGCCCTTGGTTTCAGGTGCAATGCTGAAAATCCTAGTAAGAGCCCTTACCCACAGATGTGAATGTCACTTCTATGTCCGCACTGCCTCGAGCTCCATAGGCGCTGATGAACTCACATGTGTAGACAACTGTCCTTCCAGCTGACCCACTGGGACACTGAGTTCCATCAGCCTTGAGGGTGTACCTGCTGCAGCTGGAATCTGATTCTGTTTCAGAGTTTCCTGCAGAGACATAACAGTTCTTTTGCTGTCACAGTTGACTGACTCTCTGAGTTAGTAGCAGAGATACCAAATTATTGAAAAAGAATTACTAATTAAATTAGTTTTCTTCTCTTTGAATGAAGAGGTGGCAGAATGTGTACTGGTTAGGTCTGTGGACTAAGGAGCCAGGTTTCGTGGCCACAAACTCAAACAAAAACTGGTAGGGCATTGTTGAGAAAGTCACTAAACTGCTCTGTGCTTCAGTTTCTCCAGATGTAAAATAAGGAGAAAGAACAGTAACTACAATCCAGGACTGTAGTCAGGCAAAACGGGTTACTGCATAAAAACACTTAAAACAGCACCTGTCTGGGCCCTGCCCCATTAGGGATGGTCACTAGAACGTGAAAAATAAAGAGAAGCAAGGTCTTTGGACATGATTTCCACTAGAAAGAAAAAACTGTCAGGTTTTTCTATTTAGGTTATTTCCTATTTAGACTATAGGTTTAGACTATTATTATTATTATTATTATTGAAAGGAGAAAGAAAGAAGATTGGAACATCTGATATTCATGTCATCTGAGAAATGTTTGCATAACTTGTTCCCTCCTATTAGCCCATATGTTTTATTGGAAGCTTCAACTTCATGCTTTCTCGGGCTATCACTGTTTCCCCTTCAAAATAGCTCCTCTTGAACACCTTGCTTTTCAGTTCCCAGATGCCATGCCCTCCAAGCCATCTTTACCTCTTGCCTATGACTCTGCACCACCCTCCTGGTGAACGTTTCCTACTCCAGTCCCTCTTTCCTCTAACACTGCCATAAACTCTTAAGACATCCTCCAAACACTGTCAATTTTCCAAAAATTAAAGAAAAATAACCTAGTTAGCTCCAACAGGAATGTATCCTTTTCAGCCTTGGCTGGATAATTGGTGATGTTTGAAATACTTTGATTGGTAGGTAACCAGCTTTTTTCCCAGTCCCCAAAATGACTGTTCAAAACATAAAACTGATTTCTATCTTCACCCACTTGGCTCAATGACCTCCTAGCTCAAAGGCACAAGTGTCCCTACTTATCTCTATGGCACACTTAATTTTTGCAAACCCACTTTTCCCAATTCCCCCAGGCCGTATTCTAGTCTTTATCTTTCCTCTACCTTGTGTCTTTAATCTGTCCTCAGACTCTTTCAGGCTAACCAACAGGTATACTTCTCTTCCCTTCCTAAAATAATCCCCCTAATCTGGAAGGTTCTTTAGCCATCACTGAGTTTTCTTCCACTTCCACTCTTCATACTACAATGCTTCTGCATTTGCCACCTTTAGTCTTTTACTCCAACTTTTTATCAAATCACTGCCATTCACCTTCTTTCCCCTGCACTTCACTTGAAGTGCGGTTTCCTCTTTCCCAGATCCAGTGGCTTCTTGTCCTGCTGTCTGGACTGCAGCAGCCCATTCTGCCGACCACCTTCTCTGTGACCTGGCCTACTGAACTCCACAGGTCTCTCCTGCTTCGCTTCTCTCTTCACCCTTCCTTTAGGATCTAATTCCCAGGCTCCCTTCCTTTTGTCCCCTTCATAAATACTGGTGTTCCCCAGGACATTGGCCTTGTCCCAAGCACTCTGACGTTGGCCCTTTCCTATCTTTTTCTCTAGTGTCTTACAGGACAGTGTCATCTGCACCATGGCTCCTATTAAATCCTATATTTGGATGAGTCTCCACTCTAAGAGAAACAATCTTGTTAGAAATTCTAGAAGCAAATTCCCAAGTGCTAATTCAATGTTTGAGGTACTTCCAACTCAACATGTCCTACTGGACCTTATCTTTCTTCTTCCCAGACAAATCTGTGCAGCTTCCAATGTTTCTTTTTCTTGACACTGGCAGTCCATGACGTTAAAAATCTTAAGTTCATTTTTAATTACTTACATTTCCTCACATTCCATTTCAATCAGTTGTAAAAATTTTTAGGTTATACTTCTGAAACATCTCACAATGATCTTATCCATTCCAACCCTGGTCAGTAGCCCGGGCCCCACCCATTACCTGTCATCTGCCAGTTGCATATTGTTGTAACTGGGTCTTTGTTTTGGTTATTTGGCCCTTCAATCTATTGGCTACACTACCTTAAAATTTATTTTTTAAATTTATTTTTAGTTTTTAAAATTTATTTTTCTAAATTTCAGTTCTGATGATCTGACTTCTCTCTCCTTCTATCTTTAAATCTTACCCATGCTGTTTCCAAACATTAGCTACTATAAATAGTGCTGCTATGAATATAGGGGCACATAAATTCTTTTGAATTGGTGCCCATCAGTAGAGGAGTGGATAAAAATACTGTAATACATTTACACAAATGGGATACTATGTAGCAGTAAAAGAGAAGGAATTCCTATCTTTTGCTACAGCATGGATGGAACTGGAGACTATTATGCTAAGTGAAAGAAGCCAGTCAGTGAAAGACAAATCCTACATGATCTCACTTATAAGTGGAATCTAATGAACAAAATAAACTAACAAGCAAAACAGAACCAGAGGCATCGACTTGTGGAATAGACTGACAGCTATAAGAAGGGAGGGGGGCAGCTGGAAACTGATTGAAAGAAAGTGAAGGGACTAGTGAAAAAACATATATGAAGGACCCACAGATATGGACAATGGTGTGGAGACTGACTATGGAAGTTGGGGGCAGGCTGGTGGAGGGGATAAAGGGGGAAATTAGGATAATTGTAATAGCATTAGCAATAAAATATTTTTTAAAATAATAAAATAATAAAATTAAATCTTACCCTTGCCTTCAAAATAAACTAAAATCTCCTTAGTGGCATATATGTGTTCATTCACAATATTATTTCAATCTGCCTCTATACTCCTTATCTCATTCTATATCATTCTTAAAAACTAGGTCAAGTCCTTCAACATACCTTGTAGCTTCATGCCATATGCCTGTTTTCACATCTGGAATATTCTCCTTCCCTCCTCTTATTGACTCTTACTCATTCTTCAAGCCCAGCTTTCTCACCAAACTAATGTGTAAGACAATGAGCTATGCAGGATGGGATGTATAAAGACATGTACAGAAATAATTATAATATACAGTAGATAAGTTTCATAAGAGAGGAAAAAATATAGTGTGGAGGTTAAAGGAGGGAAGTTTTAGTTAGAAGACTTCAGGGAAGAGGGAAGATTTGCTCTGTGCCTTGAAAGACATAGACAGAAAAGGTGGCTGTGGTGTTCTGGCATGCAGTTGTGGTTGGGTTGTGTGTGTGCGTGGATCAGTACTCTTTGGAGAACATGGTGTTCTACAAACTTGCCTCAGGAACTGGGGCTCAGCTGGGGGATGGAAGAGCACTAAGCCATGTGAGCTCTAACCTCCCCATCCTTTTTCTAACTTAAGCAGCTCCACTCTGATCTGCTTTACACATCAGACATGGTTCTCAAATGGGGGCAATGTTGCCTCTTTGGGGGACATTTGGTGATATTTGGGGACATTTTTGGCTGTCGTAACTGGGAGGTGCTACTGACATGTAGTGAGTAGAGACAAGGGATGCTGATAAACATCCTGCAATGCACAGGACAGCTCCCCTCAGCAGAGAATAATTTGGCCCAAAGTGTCACTAGTGCCAAGGTTGGGACACCCTACATTAGGCAAACACATGGGTTGTGCTTGAAGGAAAAATTTTACAGGTAAATCAGAAACCACTGGTGGAAGCCACAGTACACATGCAGCTGCATGCTGGTCATGTCTAGGGGGGAACCAGCAGTTCTGTGAGGCTGCAACCTACAGGGAAAGAATGGAGATGAGGCTCCAAAGAGATGTCAAAGTCAGAAAGTGAAAGTAGAAAGTGAATTGGCAGTGTTCACACTGTATTTCATACAGCACCCCTGGGGCTGTGCTCCTCGAGGTCTTGCCCAGCTGCTACTGAATGCAGCTAATATAAGCTGGTGCTGTGTTCTCTGGAGAAGAGATGCTGTGCAATTAAAAGTTTACTGCTCAAGGTTAGATCACATCTAATGAAAATTTTCCACCAACCACAGTGAAGAAAAGTGAGGGGCTGGCTTTTAAAGCTATTGCCACTATCAGAAAATAGTTATTGTGGCAGATTCAATATATTCAGGTCTGTTTTAAATATTTATAACTTATCATCTCAGTGTTTATCCCCACAAAGTCTTGCAAAGGAGGTACCAATATCACTATTTAATGGACGAAGTTCTGGGAGTCAATGAAGTGACTCATCTTGCTCTGTGTCAAGACAAGGGTACATGGCTGGGCTAGGATGACAGCTCTCCAGGAACAGACACCGTCTTACTGAAAAGCACAGGGTGTGCGGCTAATTCTTCCAGGACAGAGGACTTGGCTCAAGTTCTTTCCTTTTCTTTTTTTTTCTTTTAATCCAATTTTGTGAGCATTCCTTCAAGTAGAGGACTCACTTTTTAAAATCAAATTTGTTTATGGCATCACTGGGAACCCAGAGAGAGACATGGGGGAGGAGGAAGATCAGGGCTGTGGAGGGAAGCCCTTTGCCACAGTCACAGAGACATGTCCTCACGTGTAAATGAGCGACTGGACTAAATCCAGGGCTCTCACTCCCCTCTGCCCAATAAGGTCTCCTGTGACATTTAGGACCTATGCCACTGCCTAGAGCCCAAACCTGGACATTCTGATTTAGTTGCAAGAGTGAAGCCCTGACATCTGTTCTTTTTTAAAAAACAAAAAGTGTGACCCTCATGGGCAGCCAGAACGGACAGTGTTGATCCAACAATGCTGCTTGCTGCTGTCAGTTGCTTTTCTACTTTCTTCTCCCTCAGTCCCTGAGGCAGGTTGTTTTCTAGTAGGACTTTATAAAGTGTAGCTGAATGGATAAGAAAAAAAAATATATATATATATGCTATCTATAAGAGACCCACCTCAGAACAAAAGACACACATAGAAGGGGCTCACACCCTCTTGTAAAGTTTTAATGGTTTTGTGAATAATCTGCATGACAACAGGCAAGGAAATACAAACTTTATGAACTCATTAGGGAACTGTTCTAGCTTGTGGTCAGGAAGGGAATGAAGACTTCATTATTTTTTTATCATCGTGCCACGTCAGAAGGGCTATGGTGACACTAGAAACTCTGTAGCCTTTAAATTCCCCCACCTGTTGGCATGTTCCTACACAGTCAAAGCTAATATTAGATACGGAAAAATGAGAAACTGCACCAGTAGTAATAATAATTGGTCCCTGTACTGTTACTATTACTAGTAGTAGCATTACTGCTACAGTAGTCCCTCTTTAGCCACAGTTTCGCTTCCAGCTATTTCAGTTACCCACAGTCAACTGTGGCCTGAAAATATTAAAAGCAAATTCTGGAAATAATTCATAAGTTTTGAATTGCATGTCATTCTCAATAGCGCGATGACCTCTTATGCCATCTCTCTCTGTCCCACCCTGGATGTGAGTCATCCTTTCATCCAGCACATCTCCGCTGCATGTACAGTACAAAAATTTGATATTTTGAGAGACCACATTCACATACCTTTTATTGCAATATAGTGTTATAATTGTTCTATTTTATTATTAGTTATTATTGCTAATCTCTTACTGTGCCTAATTTATAAATCAAACTTTATCATAAATATGTATGTATAGGAAAAAGCAGTATGTCTAGGGTTTGGTACTACCCACGGTTTCAGGCATCCACCGGGTCTTGGAACGTATACCCTGCGGATAAGGGGGGACTCCTGTATTACTTCTGCTGCCATTATCATTAATATCATAGTTAGTGCCTGCTGATTTGAAAAACTGCAGAAGTCCCACTTTATGCAAGAGATGCCCCCCACCCCTTAAAGCTAGAAATTTCATTATTGCCAATTACTTCTTTCTGTCTTACCTCTTGCCACAGTGTTTTGAAAATGAAATGCGTCTGTCTCTGAGGTGAGGTAACATATTCAGTTCCACATGTTTTGGTGAATTATTTAGCTAGATTGTCTCTTACTGACCTAGAAAAATGGGTGCTGAAGCACCTGTGGAGTTTGGAGAAAGACTGCTTCAGAGAGGGAGCAGCAAGGGAGGGGGAGGAAGGGCAGGGTGCCCAGAGCAGAGGCTAAATTCATCAGAGAACTGATTTCTGCAGGAGGCCAGCCCTGTGACAGGAAACCCATTGTTCTGAGGAAGGCCCAGCCTGCACGGGGCATCAGGCCTGTCTGCAGAAGCGGTGGCCACAGAGGTCTCTGAGCATCTGTGCCACGGACTTCCTGGTTCCTCTGCCACAGGGCCAGCTTTTTCACCTCTCGGAGTTGAAAGCTTAAGGGCTTTCACGGGAACTTTGCAAGGTCTTTCTCCCATCTGGCAGTTCCTTCAGGATGCCTACACCTCCTCTTCCTTAAAAATCAAGGAAGTGACTAAATGTGCCATGTGTCAACACATTCAGCAGTTACCACATGCCTTTCCCATTCTCCTGGGTGCTTTTAAAGTTGAATTCAAATGCTGCAGCTGAAATGTGCTTTGCAAAATAGATGTGCTCAGGAAAAGGTGTGTGCAAAGTGTTCAGTATTTTGGCTTTTATAATTTAACATATTCTGGTAGGAAAGGCTTTGTAAAATAAAGTGTCCCAAGGTATTTCATGGGTAAAGGCATATTTTATTTTAATGCTTTTTTTAAGGTAAAGATAAACATAATATTGTTACTTTTTAAGGGAAGGATTGGATGTTGTTATATGAGGGTTCTCGCAGAAAGCAGTCTTTTGCTTCTGTATAAACTCTGCCAGATCAGCTCATTCCAGTGCTGGCCTCCCAGGCATGGTGAGGGAGTTTGGCCAAGATAAACACTGGTTTTAGGATATAAGGCTTGAACTGAGTCCCAATTCTCTTTCTTTTCCTATTGTGACAACCTTGAATAAGTCATTTAATTTGGACTTCAATTTCTTTTTGAAAATTAGATAGAAAAAAACACCAGCTTCAAACTTGGGGTCAAGTTTAAATGTGATTAAAAGTAATAACATGTTTTTTTTAAAAAATTAGTTAATCACAAACTGTTATACCCAACAAAGTAAGTATTGCTATTTTAATTTTGTATTATTGTTATTATTATTGTTACCATTCATCAGTATAAACTGGGGGGCAGGGAACTTCAAGTGAGATCTCAGTTCTAAAACAAAAGCAAATTGGATCAGAGATTGAGTTGAGAGAACTGAGAAATAAACAGGTCTACTCAGGGAGATTAAAAAGAAGCTCAGAGACACAGAATTAGATAACATGGAAGAAAGTGTGGATACAAAGGCACAGAAGTGAGAAAGACAGACAGCAAGAGAAGAGACACAGAAATGAGAAGCTCCAAGTCAGACTCCAAAGCAAAGGCAATGATTTCATCCTTAACTCTGAGGTGCTGAGGATGGAAAGGACAGGAAGTTGCAGATGAGCTTTTCTGTGGGCTGAAGACACTATGGACCTAAGTCATCAGGTCACTCCCTCTTGGATCTTCTCTGCTAGGATCTTGTCTACAATCCAAGTGTGATGCTTGTATGCATACATTTTTGGAATTTTTTCTAGAATGGCTAGGCTAGAGCTGGCATCAAACCTGTACTTTTTCATAGTCTGAAGTCTAGAAAAAAACAGTCATCTGACATTCTGTCTTCCACCCACGGCATCTCCCATATTTACTAGGGCATGGGACAAAAACCAGTTTGTGAAAGGACATCTAACATTCTTACCTGGAATGCTTATTTCTCCCTCCTGCTTCCACTCCACTCGACTCCAGTTAACATTAATCTCACTGCAGCAGTTCAAAGACACAGGATTGTTGTCGCACGTCACCTTCACTTCTTCACTTGAGAAAATTTGGATGGGTGTGACAATAATTTTTTTTCTGGACTCATATTCAAAAATATCTAATGTCAGTTTGCAAATATATTCACCTGTATAGAATACACAAAAGCATTTATTATTACTACATGTGTCTATCACCTGAGAAGAGTGATAGCCTCGTCTTGTGATCTCACAGTGCTTCAAGAAACATCATTTTCAAAAGCATCTGAGACTTGATCTAAACAGCCCTAAAGGAACATACAGAGAGTGGGATGATCAATGCAGATATGTCTAAAGACACAAGGTAAAGAGTAGACAAATGTTCTAAGGAAATAGCAGAAATCTCAGACTCTTGGCTGGTAAGTAAAATGTATAAAGATGAAAGAGGGAGAAAGAAAAAATGTAAAGCCTTGGAGAATTAGAAGACTGTGGATAATTTTAGAATTCTACCTATTTCTGGGGCAAAATCAGAATCAACAAAGATGTGATAGGACCTATGTTTCTGCAACCCAACTTCATTCCGAGAAAAAGATGCCTCTGTTGACCTTGGGATTATAATGGGGTTATTAAATTCTAAAATGTCAGGTTTCAGACTTAGCTTCTGTGGTTGCTGGGGGAGAGGGGCAAGGAGGGGCAGGGAGAAGGGATTACAGTGGAGTCCAAGAAAATTGGGGGAAGGGGATGAAAATGTTTACTATCCTGATTGATTAAGGTGGTAGTTTCAGACATATACCTAAACTTATTAAACTGTACACTGTAAACAGGCACAGCTTTTACATGTCTATTCTATCTCAACAAAGCTGTTTTAAAATGAAAAAATAGTTAAAAGCATAAATTGCTTTTTGTCTCAGGTTACAACTCATAAGCTTCAGTAAATGTGGAAAAACATATTTGTCTCCCAAGACTAATTTGTTTGGCTGACATGCCATGGGACTAATTTTCAACTTGGAAAAATTGAGCCTGGTGACTTCTCTTTGAAGATGAAATGCTATATACACTTCCTGTACTCTGCTTCTCTATGAGTTCTTCATTCCTTTCCTCCCATTGGTTATTGCCTGGAAACCCACCGGCCTCCCCCTGAGTGATGTTGTAAATGGTGAGGCGAGACACTGAGGTCAAGTTGTTGAGCACGACGGTGTCAATCCAGAATCTGCTGCCATTCTGGATGTCAGAGCGCCTTCCCACATGGTGCCAGGACACGTTGGACGATAGAACTTCAGTTTCACACACCAGAGTGACCGTATCCCCTTCAAAGATGATTTCTGGTATGACAGAGAACTTAGTTTCATCTGGAAACCCAAAGAAAAGAATTATTGGGATTCTGAAGGAAATAAATGCAACCAATGCTACTCACCAGATGCTGCGATCACAGGGGTCGTCCCATGGTCACCAAAGCATCTGTGGTGCTCTCAAGAACGGGGCAACCCGTCCTCCTCCCTCCATCCCTGGGCACTTGGTGTCTGGGGCCCAGAGTCAGGGCTGGCCAGGTACTAGGGACATGGTTTCCAGTCTGGGATCTTTGCACACTTAACTGTCCTCAATGGTAGTAATCTGGATCCCAAAGCTATTCTTAATGTTTCTAATAGTCTGGCAGAAAATTGCACATTTGTCTATGAAAAAGCCACACCAGCCAACTTAAACATCAAGTTTCCTTGCTGTCCACTCAGATAACATCACCTGCTTCTCACTGATAACTAATATCTCATGCTGACTGGAAGCTCTGTTCTATGTCTTTGATGAGTTAGAAATGGGAAAATGATTGTTTTCAATAATCAAGTCTGGGAAATATTTTTTAACACCTAATACCCATGGGTTCTTAAGTGTGGGAGCTTTATAGACACCCAGAGTTCTGTGCCTCAGGCAGCTGTGTGGCCCTGAGCTGCTCTGAGCTTCCTTTTCTGGAAAGCAGTGCAAGCTACCTTGGGAGGTGATTTATGGGAAGGGTAGCTGTTATTATTGTTTTCACAGTAAAATTCTGAAGAACCACTGCATTGAGTAATCTCACAGATAGAAATAAAAACACAATATTTGTTATTTTTGTATGTCTTTTTAAGGTTGTTCTTTGCTTACATAACAGGCAGTTTTCCCCCTCTCGGCTGTGACTTGTGCTACATCCTTCATGAGGTCCCTGTGGTGAGGGGATCTGGGAGCTGGGTGAGGGGGCTAGGCAGCCTCTTTTGCGTGGGGCTTCATGGTCAGCCCAGCCCTCTCCATGTGGTCAACGTGGGACTGAAACACCATAAAATTAATTTGGGGTGATGACGTTCTGGTCAAAATATCAAGGTGTCTAAATATTTCTTATCACTTTTATTAGGTTCCTGAGTAAACTAAGATTTTTAAAAATCACATTCAGCAGTTAGGAATCAAGGCCACTCGTGAGTAGTTAATACAGTGAACTGGCTTGAGGTCACACAAATTTGTGTTACTTACTATGTGTTCTTGAACACATTACTGACCCTCCCTAAGCCTTCATTTCCTCGCCTGTAAAATGAAGATTATATCCACCTTCCAGATGATATGAAGATGAAGTATGAGGAAGACACTGAGCTTAACATAGAAAGGTACCTTAATAAGCACCCTCTTTTCATTACTACTGTTGCTAATAACTATGACTAGTAAAACTGTCAGTATCGTGGGGTTGTATGGAAGTGATCATGAATTTATTGGCAGTGATTAAAGAAAGGGTGCTCTAGTTAAGGGGCCCTGCTGACTGATCAAGCATCACCAGAGGATTAACACATGACAAAATCAGTGCACCTGTTCTGAAGAGTGCCATGTGCCCTTGTGTTTCATAAAGAAGGGTTTAAAAATGAGTTCCTGATACTAACTCATTCATTCAGCATTTTTCTTCCTTATTCTCTTCTTCTCCCCTGTCCTTCAAGTATAATTTTTAAAAAGCACTCAGTCAGTTGAATTTTTTGAATATCTGTATTCTGGACAAATACCGACAAGACCATGGAGAGCAGGGTGGTGCCTGTTTCCCACGGAGCTGCACAAGACATAAGTTCATGTTTGGTGCTCTAAGGCTGAGGATATCACAGAAGCACACTCTGGTCTTTGAAGGAGGATGGAGAAGAGTGTAGGTCCTCTGCAGAAAGGGGGTTGGGGGCCATTCACAATGACTTTGGAAGAATAAGCCACAGACTCTAAAGCACTTTTGCGAACTATAGTGTCAGCACCATCATTTCTGGACTGACAGCCACTGGTCAGTAAAACTGTGGACACTTACTCATTTCACTGTCTGACTTTCCTCAGCAGAAATGAAATTTTGGGGAAAGAGGAATCGTAATGGAAGCTTACCTGTGCTAGAAACTACTACTCTCCTGTGCCATCAGAACAATTTTTAGAAGAAGAAAGAATTTTTCACAGCAAAGCCTCGTTGGTTGGTGGGGTGCTGTCAGGGTGGTGTGGCGTTGCTAAAATTGCTTCTGTGTGAGTCTACATTTTTAGGCCACTAATTCTCCCTTCTTTACAGTTTTCATCAGTTTGTTGTTACCTAATTTACTCTGAATTTTTATTTTATTCTTTTATCTTGATTTTGTTGTAGAACTTTCTTACCATTGTGTATCTCTCTTTCAATATTTTATTTTTAAAAAGATCTGTCTAAAAATACCAGCAGAGACTGTGAAGGGAAAGAGCAAACATACGCTGTGAGGACGGCCCAGCTGCTGAGAAGGGTGCCCTTTTTCCAATCGTGCCCAGGACAGTCTGTGCCCTGTCCTCCCCCACTGTGACCATGTTGCTCTGAAGAGGAACCATCTTTACATGGGAACTACAGGACTGAGTTACCCAGACACCTGCCAGCCAAACTCCAGCCCACCAAATCTCTGCCCTGCTGGGTCCTCACCTATTCTACAGGCAGCATTATAAGTCCACCAACCTACTAACACAACAGAGCCCAGCCCTGTACTCCACTTGTAAAATGGGGGAGAACTTCTAAAATCCCAGGATTCTTACAACTGTTAGATGTGATCCAAAGCAGTGGTTCTCAAACTTTCCTGTGCATCACATCACATGTAGGGCTTATTAAAACACAAATTGGCCCCCATTTGGTCTAGGAAGGCCCCAAGAATTAGCATTTCTAACAGTCCCCAGGTGGTAATGATGCTGTTGGTGAGGGGGCACCCTTTGAAAACTATTGCTCTAAAATAACAGCAGCCCCCTGTTTAATTTCAGTGCATTCCACAAAGTTGTGGTCCCCACCCGAACCACAACTTTGGCTTTGCTCTTTTGGATATTTTGGTCCTATTAATTTTTAAAAAATCTGTAAACCCAGATGGCTCTGTGGCCCCCTTGCAAACTCTCTCCCCTTGTGACCACTTCCCCAACCGCAGTGACATTAGTTCTGTGGGGAGGCTCTGCAGCAGCCTAAGATGGGGAGATGGCACAAAACCCCATGCTGGGGGCCAAAGGCTCTCCACAGGGGACATGGTAACGGAATTTCTTAGGTTTAAGCATAACCATAAACACCACTGCCATATCTAAATGGAATCTCTGCATAGGAAAAATGTAGCAATGTTCTACTTACTACTAGCAACTGCTTGAAAGGAATTGTAGTCCATTTTGTAGGTCTGATTGAGGCTCTGTGCTACCACATCATTCGCTTTCCGCATTAATGCAGGCGATGGTGTTGTAGTCTTGACTGCGTATGTCACAACCACACTGCCGGGCCTGGACAGGGACCACTCAGTTCAGTAAAGCAGTAACTGACCTGGAAGAGTCTAGATCCTTATGGTTTATTTGTGTGGGAAAACAAATGGCAGGAAGGGTTCACTGCAATCAACGTGTTTTCAAACTCTAGTTGAAAGCCTGAGGCAGGGCTTGCACACTCAAATGTATGCAGACAGCTAACATAAATGGACAAAATAGCTAGACAGGGATGAGGAAATGAATCACATGAGCTGGCCATAGGGTGGCAGCCACAATGCAGAGACTTGTCAAACAACTGGGCTGGCCCAGTGTTACCAGAGAAGCCTAATATCAAGGGAAGCCAAAATCCTGACTATTTCTGTAAACATTTTTAATTTTTAACATTGGCAACCAGCTTTCTGAAAAGCTGTGCAAACCAACTCATGACTGCCAAGGTGCCCCGCTTCCAGGAGAGCGCCCCCCCCCCTTTGCAGCTGGTCTCTGCAACCCTGGCAGGCCAACTTTTCTTGAATAAAGGCATCATTGCATGACATTGTTTCACTTTTCTGTTTCTGAATGCCCTGAACTACAAACTTATCCAATATCTTTGCAAAATCCTTGTGTGTGTAGAATGAACACAAATCTTTTTCTCACTTTCCTTCTGAGTACGTACCTCTGTAAGGAGTGAGCTACAATTCTCAGTATTTGAGCTGCTTTAAACCCCAGCAACCTTCCCTCACTGAGCATCCCAGATGTCACCTCTCTGACAGGCTTTTCCTCCTTCACTAGTGTGCTGGTCTGCGCCATTAGATAGAAATGACCCAATTATGGCATTCTTACCTGAACCCTGTCACAGTCACCAATATGAAGCCTGGTAAAGTACTGTAACCTTTCCAGAACTAGAAAATAAAGCAAGACAAGTGTCATGAATCAAGGTCCAGTGAGAGAGATGACAAAGATTAGAAGCTGAGTAAAAAGCACGTATTACTTATCACTCTGAGTAAAATTTCATCCTGCATATTTTGTTAGCACTGGCATCAGCATATCTTTGAAGAAGTCATTCCTATCTGTGAAAATCTGGGTTGTCTAAAAAGCAAACACCAGATTAAATGTGTAAAAAACTTACTCAGGGAAATAGCTAGGAAAGAATACGGAGGAGGCTGCAGGAAGCCATCTGACCCCAAGTGGAAGAGAGCAGGAATGAGGTTGGATGAGATCATCCTAGACTAGACTGAGCCTGGGAAGCTTCAGTAAGGCCTTGAAAGGGGTCTCATGTCTGCCAGACACAGACCTGCCGAGCTCATTCATTGGCAGCCAGCAGCAATCACTGTCAGGGCTCTCAGAGGCACACAACTGGGGCCCTCAGTCAATTCCTGCCCCTGTGTCTGGAGATACACTGGTGCACTCTTATGGCCACCACATTGCCTAACACATTGCACTTAACATAATGCGGCATTGGTTTTTGATGATGTTTTTACTCCAGTTTGTTTCTCTGAATACCAGCTGTATGAGAAATTCAATTTGATTCAAGTCACATTTACAGGGCAGATATCACATGCAAAGAAAGCACTGTGCACCAGGTAACTGGATGGACAGGATCCAAAGATTACCATATTTTGCTGTATGTAATGTACACTTTTTTACCCAAATTTTTGAGGGAAAAATAAGGATGTACATTATACATGGGTAGTACCTGAAATACCCGGTACTTTTCTTGTACTATTTGTTACATAAAATCTCTTGTGTTATAATATGTTCAAAAATAAATGCTAAAGTTCTTTTGTAATACAAAAACAAGTATCTAAATATGTGTAAATAAATAATTGAATTAAAAATTAAAACAAAAGTTTTTTTCCTGAAAGTTTGGGCCAAAAGGTGGGTGTGCATTACACATGGCAAAATATGGTAATATGTCATTCTCTTTCCTCAAAAGTACGTGATTTTGTGTGTGGTTGTGTGTATGAGGAAGGTTCTCATGCTGTGCAGAACCTGTTACATGCCAGATATGTAAATCAGATGTCCAAGAGCCCTGCTGAGTCAGCACTTTACCGTGGCACCCATGGAAAATGTTAATGTCGCGTGGCACACTCAGGAAAGCTCCTAGCATGCTCCTGCCTGGAGAGCTAAGGAAGTCATTATCTCGGTCTACCTGTAATATGTGCACACCAGTTGGGAAAGTCTATTCCAAATAGGTCACTTCGAGGAAAACAGTTTGGTTTAGGTGAATCAATCCAATGTAAAGCACTTACAATAGTGTCTGGCACACAGTTAACTAACACTCAGAGAATATTCTCCATTTTTACAAAAGTAAATTTAAACCTGCCCTAGTGTGAACACCTGGGGACCACTAGTGTAGAGTGATTTGGAACCCTCTGTGCCACCCTTGGGCTGGTCCACCCAGAAGATGTTAAGGGCTTCATCCATGTGCTGTGTGAAGACAAATGGAAGTGTACATCTGGTACTTCTAGATCAAGTTCTTGGGCCTCTGAATAGGTTTCAGTGAGTTTATGTCACCAAATCTTACCTGAATCAATTCTATCCTGGGAAGAAGTCCCACCTATAGGTCAAGATGATGTCAAATCATCCCATGAACACTGTTTGATTTGAGCACTTTTTAATTCATCCTCTCAGAAGTGCAGGACTAATTTTGACATCCACATTCACAAATTCTGACCGATCCCAGCAAACTGTCCATAGTTAATGCAACAGATTTAGTTCAGCCCAAAGTGTTTGGTTAGGAGGCTCCTGAGGCCAAAACCTACCGCTGTTTCCAAGTCAGTCTTGTAGGACCTGTAGAGGGCAGAGGAAGTGTTCCTGAGCTCTTCTTGAAAGCCCACATTGAGTCTGACTGACATACTCAGGGTTATGGCTGAAAAAAGGAGGCGATATTTTAAAATCTCATGTTAGCATTTAAGCACACACAGGACAGAGAAACATTTACTTGATCTGATATGAAATAACCACTGAAAAAATGAACATTTAATGAGCAGTTACTTACCTCCCTGGAGCTGGCAAAAAGGTCCTTTGGGGGGCAGTCCTTTAAGGCAATTGCAGTGATGCCCTGCAGGGGAGTTGTCATGGTCTTGACAAGTGAGATTGGGAAGGCACTGTTCTTGAGGCCACCTATAGCCTGTCTCACAGGTGCACCAGATTTCATTTCCAGTAGGGCTGCAGACTAGCATCAACCCGAACAGTGAGGAAAGAGAAGGTGGTCACCATGTGTGCATTTCACAAGTATTATTTATAGGCTAACTTGATTCCATATTGCCCTCTGGAAAGTCAATAGTACTGCATGAGATTCCCATGATTCCTATATGCATCATCATGCTATTAGGCATGGGCATCTAAAAGATGACTCCTCCAACTCACCCATGGGATGTCCAAAATGATATTGTGATAAACAGATTTCTGGACATACAGTGTATAATAGCTAGCCTCCAAGAAGGCCCCTGTCCACCCCTGGCTCTGGAGGTTTTCACACCCTTTTGTAGCACCCTCTCCTATTGTACCAGGGTTGGTTTGTGTGACCAGTAGATTATAACGGAAGTGATTTCAGGCCCTCAGAAACTGTGTGGTGTAATAAATGTCTGTCGTTCAAATGCTAAGTTTTGGGATCATTTGTTACACAGGAACAGATAACAAATATAGAGTACAAGTAAAATTGTGTCTTTCACATTTCATGTCAAATGTGAGCAGCCCAGACAGACTCTGCTCCCACAGGCACATTGAAAAATGCTCTGAAAACAGAGAGCTTTGGATTTATTTCTAAAACTCGACCAAAGTAATATCACTGGATGCTGTTTGTTCTGAACATGGGCACCTGGGCAAAGGCTCAACAGAGTGACTACCCAAAGGAAAGCCACCCAGTAATTGTTCCTGAAGTAGGAGTAACAGCTGAGTTCCAGTGAACTCTTGGACATGGATGCAATTCTGTGTTCTGAAAGTTGTGGGAGCTGAGCACTGCTGGTGACGGTGGTGAATTGGCAGGGGAATTTGAAGGGAGCCAATAAGACCCCCCTTTGTCAAAATTGCCTATTGACCTGAAGTCACATCAGTAACACATGTTTTGTTTTGTTTTGCTTTCATTTGTTTATTTATTGAGAGAGGAGTGGAGGTAGTATTTGAAGAACTTTTAACTCCCATGTAAAATAAGAGGGTGCTTTAACAGGGTGACCAAAGCTATAATCAATCACCGGACCACCTACTGCATTCCAGGTATATTTGGTGCTTTACATACACTGCCTGGCTCTTAGTTCTGTTTGCTGTTATTAAAAAAAATTGAGAGGATCATAAGGTAAGCTGTTGAAATAGTGGGCAGGGAGAGACATGGGAAGAAGGGAATGGAGAAAATTTGGGGGTGCTTAGACATTCGTATCATGGTCAGAAAGTCTAATCTTCATTACCCACCTATCACATCTCACCCATTCCTCTGCCAGGTCAGCTCTCCCCAGCCTTGCCTGCTAGTTCTGAGATCCATGAGCCTGAGGTTTCCTCAGTTTGCTATCAGGAAGGTTTCACTCCTTCAACGTGAGAATGGCCAGTCTTGCTGGCAAGATAAATTAAACTTTACCAGGGCATTTGCATCTTAAAAGAGAAATGGCATAAACAGTGGAGCCCCTAAAATCACACCTCCTTCAGTAGAACAAAATAAACCAGGGAGAATGTGTTCATACTCTATATTGAGTGTACATAACATTATTAGCTCACAACTAAAGCTCATGTTAACACTCACATGCTATTCAACAAAAACAAAACTTATTTATGTGACACTTATTGGTCTATTTTGTTTATTAGATTTACTTTCTAGTATCCAAGTAGATACCAAAGTTTTCCATTAAAAATATTGGAAAACAAAACAAACTAAAAATCTATCAAATTATTAGCTTTTTCCCAAAAATAAGGGAAATCATTTTAGATGCATATCTATGCTGAGTGGAGGCATAGAAAGGTGTTTCCTATGTTGTTACAACATAACTGTTTTGTGAAACATCCTACAGAAGAGTCCTGTGCACAAATCATTTGAGGAACATTGTGGATGACTCACAATGCACATTGGCATTTGATCAGAGAAGCTCATGGTAACTCAAGGAGATTAAGGCTAATGTAGAATTTGGCAGGGAATGGAATCCAAAGGGAGCTATAAGGCAGTGATTTCAGATTCAAGCAGAACTAAAGTACTATCTTAAGAGCTAAAAATGAAGATGCATAGTCTGACATTGTGTAGACTATTTAAAATATGAGAATTTAAAAGGATTTTGAAAAATAAGGATTTTATTCTTGCCACCATTTTAGAATAGTAAAGCCTAATATCCTAGTGCTTTGCAATTTACAAAGCAGTAACTTTTTATAAGACAAGGGATTGTCCCATCTTATAGCTGCTATGGCATAGAGGTGATGGTCCCCTGAGACGTAGGAGAACTAGCTAGCATGACCTTGAAAAGGAGCCAGTGACCAGAAAGCCTAATCCCAAAGTCTGGGAGGTTCTTCTTCATGCCTTGATTCTGATCCAGGCATATAGGCATGATTCCTATTTTCTGACCCATGATTCCAAAAAAGGGGGGGAACTTGCTACTTATTAATATCCTGAACCAGTACTTTCTATATCTACTGATTGTCTAAGGAAAGAGAATCCAGTAGTTTGTCTTGTCCATATCTTGGAACCACTTTGTAACAATCAACAAACAAACCACTAAATAAATATTTAGTCACCATTTAAAATAAGCAAACTGGCTGCAGAGTTTACCAATAGGGACTTCATCTAGAAGGCTATGAAGTTGTAAAATCACATATCAGACCCATTGGGTCTTTTCACTAGCCTACTAGGTATACTTTTTTTTTTTACATGTAAGGAGCTCAGACAGCCTTTCTCCTGATATGTCCAATCCTCCATTCTAAAGCAAAGGGTCTTTTACTCACCTGTTGTCAACTCAATGCTCAAAATGTTGGCAGCTAGGTCAGTGTCATTGCCTTGAATTGGAAAACTGAGGCTGTTCAAGTAAGCTTTGATAGGCTCCAGGAAGGAGGCATTTTCCAAACTGATCTCAATGTCCACAGTATACTCTTTAGCTGCAGGATGACTCGTAGCAACTGAAATGAAAGCATATGAAGGCTGTAAGAACTTACCATCAGTGCTGGAGAGAGAACATGATAGACATTTAAAGTACTTAAAGGTAATGACAGGAATATGTGGATGCTGGACACACCATTCCTTAAGAGTTTCTAATGAAACTTTTGAGAGAAAAAAGAGTTTGTGCACTGACCACCACCAAGTACCCCTTCATGATGCTTCCTCTCTACGACTTTACTATTTAAAGGAGCAAGGCAAATGATCTGCCTGGTCTCCTCGCAGTGGTTGTTGGCTATCTGAGAGACTCACAGGCTAAGCTCAGGACTTGTCCTCTCCATTCCCACACTCTTCTTGGTGTCCAAGGCCAAGAACCTCCATGTGGAGAATGGACTATAATGGGACAAGAACAGAAGCAGAGAGGCCTAATAGGAAGGTGCTGGCAACAGTTTAGATGATAAACACCAAAAAATGTCTTGACTCAGCAAGATGACCAATATGTTTCAAACATCATTCAACTGACATGCATGTACTTTGAGACCCGGACTATTTAAACTGGAAGACATCTGGGAAAGTCATCTAGTTAATCCCCTTTGCTCCTAGCCTGTGCACACAGCAGCCTATTTATTTTTATTCTGTATCTCCAGTGTCCAGAACATGATAGGCACTCAACAAAAGTGAACTGGCAAGTTGGAAAGTAAAATAAAAGATCTTTAGCTCTTCATTGCTTTTCCAAAATGTCTCCAGGCTGGCTGTCTGGCTATCATTCTAGATGAATCTGCTCCCCAACCCATGCCCACTGCAGGCAGGGCAGACCATATTAAATATATATTCATATATAAACGTATTTTGTATAAATATATATCTAATAATCTATTTTATAATAAACACATTTATTATAACTTATTTTTATATAATTCATTGTATATAAGTATGAGATTCATTACATATTATAACATATATAATTTATTACACATTAATATATTTATATATAAATATATATTTTAAATATATGAATATATATGTATTTTTAAAATATCTTTTTAAATGTTCTTTTATGGTTTCATATATTACATCATGTCTGGCCCACTAGCTGTAAGCTTCTCAAGGGCAGGAACTGTTTCTTTCGTTTCTCATGGCCTTGCTCAAGCCATCTGGCATGGAGCTCACACCACATAGTAAATGGGTGTCCAATCAATTCTTGGTAAACCTGTGACTCTCTGAATTGAGTCACAGATTCACCTCTCTGTCACTGCCAAAAATTTTGGCTCATTCTTGGCTGAAATAAATAACTGGAGCAGAAGCCATGGACAGCCTTAAAAAATTAGGAAAATGTTTTATGGAGACACATTGAGAAGGCAAGTTGTGGCCTATTTTATATTGTCAGTTACATACACAAAAGATAAGTGAATACCTACAAAATTATCACCTTAAAATTTAAGTAAAATCTGGACCTGTGATGCCTATTTTATCAAACAATTAAAATTCTAGGTCTATTTTCTAAAAGGGCAAAGAATGTCTGCCATAATATTGCAAGATTTGTTTTAAATGTTCCAAGGATTATTTATATGAAACACTAAAATAGAGTAAGTTTACTACGGGAAATTCCAATTGATAAATTCTTGTGGTAGAAAACTGTGATGTTTGTTCACTTAGAGTTGCAAACTATGTTTGTCTTAGGATGTTGGTTTAACTCATTTACTTTGTTGAGAATTGTGTCATTTTTGGCATCATTCAACTTAATGTGAACTGTAAAAAAGTCTGTGGAGATTTTCTTAAAATTAAGAATGCACTTAATGTATATTTTCTCCTTATAAAAACATATTTACTGTAGAACAAGTGACTTTCAAGACTGAATGTGGAATCTCGGTCTGTTATGATATTATGCCATTGCCTTAAATTTCCTGTTTTTCCCCTGATTCTCAAATGGTTTTGTGATGAAAGCAAGCTGCCTGGGGGGAGGAGGTGGAACTGCTTATCTTAATTTGTGTGATCCAAATTAAGTGTGATCCAAACTCTGAACACAGTACTTGCCTACTGGGCACATCTGCAGAGGGGCAGCGGCCTGATATTTACAAGGTCTGCCTTAGAGCACATTCTTTTTCCTGAAAAGTAATGTTTATACTCTCCAGAGGATTCCTCTTTGCTGCTTGTTCTACTCTCCTCCCATGAATGTAAACAGGATTTCCTGGACGTGACCAGTTTTTGAGATCAGTGAGGTCTATAATAATCGAGTATCACCCCAGGGTCTGATACTACTATCAGCACACTACTGAGCCTGCCTGAGGGCCATGTCTGCCACCTGTCCCTGAGCCCCTGACTCTGCGCTCTTTACAGATGTAACTGTAGCACAAGCCTGTGCCTGCAAAGCACACGGTGACTCATGGACATCATCATTCCCCACTACAACCAAGGCAGTTAGGAAGATCTCCTCTGCTGAGGTCTTCCAAGGAGTTGAGCCAAAAGCTTAAAATACTAAGAGGGAAGTTCCTGTGAATTTAGCAAGTTCCAGTCTATGGGATTTGTGCAACTATTAATAAAAGCACCAGCATCCAAGACTCTCTGTCCCTTATCCACCTTTTCTGTTCCTCAATAACTTCTATAGGAGTTCCAAAGTAACCCTCATCCTAGTGTCAGTTCTCCTGAAAGACAGGGAAGTATGTGGGAATCTCTAATAGAGAAGGGAACATCTTCTTAAAAATGGCTCTTCCAAACAGGCTCAAAAAACACACAACAATAACAACAACAACAACAACAAAACAACACCATAGTAACTCAGAAGGCTATAGGTTTGCAATAGGGAATCACCTACTTCAGGGGTGCCCACACCTGACTGATGATTATGCACACCTAGGGAATTTACACACACAGGTATTTTAGAACTTCAACCGACCTGGGCCAAAGTAGAATCTTCATGGGTTAGGCCCAGAAATCTGTATTTTTTTTCAGTTCCCACTGGTGCTTCTGGTCATCAAGCACATTTGGAGTCTAACATTCTAATCCAAATGAGGAAACTGAGACAGTAATCTTGGCGAACCAAGATTAGCTCCTACCCTTGTTTTTGGCATTAGCTTTGTGTTTTGCTTGCAGCGCCATCTGCTGGTGCTCCTATGGGGGCAAACAATCATGCAGTCTCCAAGCATATTTGCTTCCTCTTATCTTTCCTCTTTTGCCTTAAGGGAGCTGCTACTTGCTCACCTCTCTCTTCAGGGACACTGAATGGATCACAGGTGGTCGTAATGAAAGTAACAGTAATAAGAGCAGCTGCCATTTATCCATTACCTGGTCAGTTCCAGGGCCATGAGGACAGTATACAGACACCCATTTTGCAGATGACAAAACTGAGGTCTAAAGGGTTAAAGCCACATGGACAGCAAACATCAGAACTAAGATTTGAAACCACATTTTTCTGACTCCAAAGTTCATTTTATTTTAATCATATCCTGCAGTGACTCAAATAGAAGATAATGGAAATAATCACTCTGTAAATCCTAAAGTACTGTGAAAATATACAGTATTATTGTTAGATGTGTCTTTGGAACATGGTGTGCAATTCTTAAAGTACATTTTAAAATGAAATTAAATCAAAAGGCAAAATTATTAATAATAAATGGGAGCATTATCTAAAAATTTGTCCAGTTTGATTTGACATAATAAATGACTTAGAAATCCATAGTGAGGAAACACACAATGACCCATTGCCATCGACACTCATGGATTTTGACACCAACCTTTGCTGAGATTGTTCCTTGGTTTATTGATGTATAAGCAACTTTATTATTTATTGGGTGCCTACTTCCCAGGCACTGTGCTCAGTGGTAGGACACAGGGCAAACTGTGCTCACAGCCTCAGATAGGCCTACAGTTTGCGATAAAAATGCCAAACCTACCCCGTCATCTCTCTCAAACCTGAGGACTTTGGAGCTCGGGAAGGTGATACTCCTGTCCTGCCTCGGGTGACAAGGGGCCCACGAGGAACAGAGGACTGTTCCCACCTCTCTGTGAGTGAGTATTTCAGAGCCTTTCCACACTCCTCTGCTGCCTCTGGACCATCTGATTTCAGTTTAATGTATTTTCTTTGTCTTGGGCTCCTTTGTGCTGGTGTTTGTCTGAATTTTTCTGACTCACCGATGCCCCAGTGGAAGGTAGCACATTCCAGGTGTCATTGTGTCGCAGATGGAGGCCTATCGGCAGGCCCAGGAGGCACAAGCCAACCAGGATTTCCCCTCTCCTGTCTTATAAATCACTGCCACCACACAGCACTTGTCTTAAACAGACATTTCTGGAAAGCTGGACACAAACTGCAACAAGCAGTTCTGTCTTAATCACAGCTGTTAAAGCAAACGATACCATTTTGCCCAACAACTCTAATAGTAATTATGGCTTCTCAAAAGTCAGAGCCTAAGTAGACCCATCATTAACTTCCCACCTGCAAAAGAATGAAAGCTGCTAACTTCATCCAGGAGAAATGAGGTGGGGTGTGGCTTTCCCTTGACCAAAGGGGACAATGCTTCTTTATCACTGGACTTGGCTTTCATTTCTGCCCCATAGTTCTATAGCAGGTAAATATTAAGGCTGTTTTTATGCTCGTTTTTCTGTTTTGTTGGCATGTTCTAGTTGGTAGCAAATTGGCAGCATCATAGTCAAAGGATCCTGTTCTCCTGTTAGGTTTTTAAAAGGTTTGCTCATACAAGGGTAAGCACCAGAACCCCTGGCTGGGGCTTACCTGGCAGGTGTGGGTGAGGACAGTGCAGAAGCACTGTGTCAGGAGACCTATGCTGTGAAGTCTGGAGAAAAGTGTCAGTCCTACTGACCCTTCATATACCCAAAGTATCAAAGTCAGCCTCATACCAAGTTCTTTTCTGAGTACAGTGAAGACAGTGGTAGCCATGCTACTTGCTCTACAGAGCTGCTCCAGAGTCACGGGATGCAATCTCACAGACCAGATACACATTGGAAACTATGACTCTTCACTGTGAGCATGGACTTTGTTTGACTCAGGGAGAGCAGGTGGACTGCGTTCTTACCTGAGCAGACCATTAACCTCTGTGAACCATGCAAGTAATTTTGTTGTTAATAAAAAATTATTAAAACAGCCCTGGCTGGCGTAGCTCAGTGGATTGAGCACGGACTGGGAACCAAAGTGTCCCAGGTTCGATTCCCAGCCAGGGTACATGCCTGGGTTGCAGGCCATAACCCCCAGCAACCGCACATTGATGTTTCTCTCTCTCTTGTTTATCTCCCTCCCTTCCCCTCTAAAAATAAACAAATAAAATCTTAAAGAAAATTATTAAAACAAGCAAAACCCCAAAAACCTCATTAACATTTTAAAAAGTAATATGTACATATTATTTAATCATCCCAACAAACCTGTAATGTAATAACATATGTGTGGCATGTGTGATACATGCACACACATGTACTATATATAATACATTATTTGGTATATACATATATTTATATGTATATATGTGGTTGTGTGGGATAGATGTGATATGCATGTGTATATAAACATGCACACAAATGTTTGTGAGCAATAGATGTGACATATGTATATATATACAAGCACATATGTGGCTGTGTGTGGTGTACACACCTACATGTGATTGTGTGTGATAGATATGATATGTGTGTATACATATAAATATATATATATTACAGATATAAATATATGTCAAGGGCCCAAGGAGCAAAGTAGATTAAGAAGAAGTCCATAGTACTCTGAGAATAAATATGATTCCTGATCCTACCTTTAAAGGCAATTCTATCCCAAACCCTAAAAACTTGGTCCAGTATCTCAAAAGAAACTTCCTTTTGAGAATTCTCTTCTTCTCAGAACCACTGTTTGACCCTTTCTGGTGTTAAGACTCCAGAGAGGGAGCTGCATGAGTACGTGAAAGACAACACCACTCTAAAAACCAGAGCCCAGTGCTTTCACCCCACTTACTTAACACACCAAGCAGAACGCAGACCCCTCCTTGTGGCCTCTGTTGCATATCACCCTCCTATTGCTTCCTCTCATAGTTTCCCTGGAGAGTGATGCTCTTATTACAATGCACATTCCAGGTACCTGCGGCCTAGTGCCCAGGCCTTTCCACAGCCATTTAGTACTTCAGTCATTTTATAAAAGTACCAAGGCCAATTCATCTCCTGTAGATGGTGAGTTGAGTGATTAACACATCCAAAATGACTCTGGAGGCACAAGAGCACAGAGGCCCACGTATAATAAATGGAAAGCAGGTTTTCGTGGCAATTTATCATTATCATGAATGTTTTTAATGGAAGCATGTCTGGAAAATTTTTGGAATATCAAATCCGCAGATGTAGACGAGGTTTCCTCCCCTGCTGTCACCATGGGTCACAAACAGCTCTCTCGGAAGTGCAGGAAGACGGTACTTTTACGGCCGTCTGGTCACCAACTGCCCCTGAGGAAGTGGGCAGCCTAAGCCCTAGAAGAAGCTGGCAGAAACCCAGAGCTAGAACGCAACCACCAATGGCTTGATTTTAAAAAGAAAAGTCTTTCAAAATACTGCATGGGGATGCCTGGGCCCTGCTCCTGTCACAGGGTGCAGGGAAGGGATGGGGAAGAAACAATGGTGCTTATTTTGAAGTGCAGAAAATGCCGTCCATGCTCCAGACCACTTCAAACAAGGAGGGGAGCAGAGGGGAGTGAGGGCCCTTTGGTGATAGAAAATGAGGCAGAACAGAAGCAGAGAGAGATGAGAAAGGAAAGGGGAAAAGGAAGGAAAGGAAAAGAAAATAATCAGTGGTAGGACCTTCCAATGAGGATTTCGAGAGCTTGATAAAATGTGGTCAAGTTCTCATTTCCCAACAGTGAGTCTGGTTGCTGAGCTGTGAGGGGCTCTAACAGGTGCCGCTCCCGGACCTCAGGGCAAGCCTACTCCCTTTGGCAGCCCAGCATCTCTTTCAGACCACAAGACAGAGTAGACCAAGTCATAGCACGTCTGGAAAAGGGTTCAGTCACAATGCTATAGTTGAAAAGTTTTACCTTCTACACAGCTGGTACAGCCACAAGGCCAGCAGACGCAACAATAGGAACACATCCTCTGAACTCACAAAGGGGTGGCTATGACAGAAACATGCACTCTTTTCATTTGCTCACTCACTTATAGAGAAACTGGGCCAGAAGCCAGGCTAGAGAGAGGAAGAGAGTTCAAGGGAGCTCATGTCTACTGGGGATGACAAACAGGAAGCAAAATAATTACAATGTATTGGGACACTCTTGTGCTATGGGAATGTGTCAAGGGCAATGAGAACCCAGAAAAGCTGCCCCACCCTGTCTGGGGATTTGATGGAAGGCCTTACATGGGCAGGAGCCCATGTGAATTGAGACTTAAGTCAAAGTCCCTTAGACAATCAAAGGGTGGGAGGTGGCAGGAGGGGCACTGGCCGTGTGAAGGGGAACGGGAAGAGAACAGGAGGGAAAAGCAGGCAGGGTACGGTAAGACTCAAGCAGGTGATTAGATTTCATTTTCAAGACCATTGAAAGCACATGGATGTTATTCAGGGAAATAAAAGCATCAGGTTGATGCTTTTGAAAGATTCTTTTGAGGGAAGTAGGAGAATCTGGTCCTGGGAAAAACCAGCCAGCAGAGGTACACCGGCACCTGGCCAGGCCCTGCACGTGGGCCAGGGCACCAAGGGTCATTGTGCACGTGAGTGTCCACAGCTCTCTGCTGCCCTCAACCCTCCAAAGGTCAGAGTCCTATATTTTTCAGACCATCTTTTGAAATGTATTGGGAAAATCAAAGGGGGAGACATAGGAGAAGGACTAGAGTCTAGTGGTTAAATTGATGTGCCATATAAAGTGATAAGTGAGAACAGAAGAGGTCAAAAAAAGCCGAAGGAAAGGCTGCTGCATTGACAGTGGTGGGTGGAGGGCAGCGGAGGAGACAGGCACTGGCTATGGGAGAGGAAAGGGGATTACAACGTTGCTAAAATTCGTTTAATGCCATTTGGCAGAGTAGAGAATGGAGATCCTTTGTAATTACTTCCAGATATTGAACCCTGATGTGTTTGGAGACTGAACTATGTGGATCGCAGTGTTCTGAAAAGCCAGAGCACATGTCTTTTAATCAGACTCACTAGAAGTGATTGCCAAGCAAAGAGTTTACGTACCTGCTCGTTTTTGCCTTAATGGCTCCTCCCCTGCTAGTCCACGTTCACGGAGATTCTGAAAGAACATGTTAGAAAATTGTCAGTTAGTGGTAGAGATGTCTTTTCACTATGACTTTCTGATCACATGCCCCAAATGTTAGAACTGAGTTTAGGGCTGCAGATTCGGCGTTAGCACCTTGTGCCCAGTGGGGGCCAGGCAAGCAGCAACTCAGTGATGACGAAAATGGCACAAAGTTGACTCTGTGCTGTGACCCGGGAATTCACTTTTTACAGGCCGGTCTCAAGATCCGGGAGTGGAAGAGCTCTCACCGTATCTGAGTTTCTCAGAGTTCCTGCAGTTTGAGTCCTGCCAAGAAGTATAAATTATGGTGTTCTCAACTTGTGCACTCTGCCTAAGACTTGAACCCTGAGTCAGTCCACTGACCTTTCCGACGAGTCTCACGACCTGCTCTTGGCACTCAGCCTGAACCCACACCAATATTTCTGCGGCATTAGGGTGATTCAGATTGTCCAGGCTTAGGAATTATTTTCTCTTTCCCTGGTCCTTTCTCTCCAGGGTGGTTGCTACCTGTGGCAGGGATCTTGACAGCCAGCTCTGGAGTCAGACTGCCTGGGTACAAGTCTGCACCACTCAGTAGCTATGTGACCTTGTGGAATTTTTTTATCCTCTCTGAGCCTCAGTGTTCTTTTCTCTAAAATGGAATAATAATGGTACTGACCTTACGAAATTGTTTTGAGAATTAAGCAAACTCAATGTGGCACATAGTATGCTCTTAACAAATGTCAGTTATATCATGTAGAATGATAGTTAATAACAAGGACTCTGTAGACATTGAGTTCAAATTTGAGTTCTGCCATGAAATGGCTGTGACTTTGAGCAAGTTACTGAATCTCTCTCTGTCTCAGCACTCACTTAGAATACAGGAACAAAAACAGTTTGCCTCGGGAGGGTGTCACATGCTTAATAAATGTAAAGCCCTGAGACTGGTTTTGGAGACAAGACAGGGCTTCACATTGTTCTGGGTGCACCCTTCACATGGGCCCCCCTTTTGGCACACTCTTGCTTCATCTGTGTAAAGCTTTATCTGCCATCATCATGTGGCTTCTTGTTTAAGAACTGGTATTGTTTGGCTTTGCTGTTTGGAGCACTGGCAGCTCCACAGCTGGTAACCACACCTTGGTCTGAAACAAGCCTCTTAGCTCATCCCTGCCTCCAGGTGGGTTTTCCTCTGTAGTACTTCCCAGTCCAGATTCCCTTCAAGGTTCACTAGAAGAGCCTGATCTTTATGAAGTCTCCCCAGATACTCTTCCCCACAGAGGAGTGTCTTTTACCATGAACTCTATATACCCATGAACCTCACCCAAGGCAAAGCTCATTCTGCTATCTGTGGTGTCAACTATTATTTTCTAGTTATCTCACATCGTAATGAAAACAAAGCAATAATTATTAAGATGTATTCAATACCCTGTGTCAGACAATGTTAAGTATTTGATATGTGCTAACTTATTTAGTTCTCATGGCAGCCTAAGATGTGGATACTGCTATTATCCACATTTCACTGGTGAGAAAACACAGACACAATGAGGTCAAAAACTTGGTGAAGGTCACACAGCCTTTAAATAGCAGAGCCAGGATTTGAACCCAGCTTGCCTGGTACCAAAGTCTGAAGTTGTCCACATAAGCGTTGCATCATTTAATCAGGAGATACCCCAGGAAACTGTGGTTTGTCTCAGGGACCCAGTCTCCATCTCGTACTTTTTCTTTCTCTAGTGCCTTCTCCTATCCCTTCCTTTTCGATGACTAGTATTCATATCCATAGGAACTGAGGAGAAACTATGCATCTGATGGTTCATAAATGTTCTTGAAGAAATGAATAGAGCAGTGATGGATGATGATTGAAATCTCAAAGTTGCTACTTCATGTGCAGTGAGGCTATGTCAGCCGTACTGAAATAAGCAGGAACCAAACCAAGAAGGAGTGGAGTCAACACACAGAGCTGGTTCCTGTCCAGCTTCCCCAGGGGCCTGCTTTGGTTCAGCGCCAGGTGGAGGGGAAGAGTCTTCTGCTACATTCCTGCCTCCATCCGCCCTGGGGCTGGGGGGTGGGTGGTGGGGAGTGGGGAGCCACTGGCAGCCTTCTCTGTCCACTCTTCATGGACTGCTTTTGGGGGACTCAGCCCAGGAGAAGGTGACCACTGGCAGTTACCTGTGGTCAGCTCTCCCAGGTCCAGTTTTATTTTCTCCATTCCCCAGTGGGCCTAAAGAATTGAGGACTTGCTGCTGGCAGTTGTACACTGAAATTGAGACACATTACAATTCTGTCATGTAAAGCGTTATATTTGAAATCTTCAGTGACCATAAGGGTAACTGCCTCTCCTCCCTGCAATCTGATTTAGCAGGTCTGAGTGGGGGTCTGTGTGAAGAAAACTGCCTTTTGAACTAGCACTTCCCTTAATGTTGAAGCCACATGTTGAGTAATACTGCTTCTTAACTCTGTCCTCAATCTTGATGGTGATTATCTGGAACTTCCAGGGATCATCTTTGCAAAGGGCTGCTTCTACAACTGTCACCTACTGTCTGCCTCTCTATTATCCAACGAAGATTCATGGCTTTTTGTGAGAATAACCTACGTTTTATTTTTAGCCCTGAAATCATTGGTGAGAATGAACAGAAAACATACTGAGAGCAATGAGACCTCTGAGGAGTTCCCCAGTGACGGCGTGACTCCCAGAATTGAGAAAGGACGAGGAGCCAAATCATGGGGCCTGAACTTCAATAAAGCAAATGCCAGAGTCATACCAAGAATGGAATACCACCACCTCTGGCTCTTCCTGGTTGGAAAAGTCATATACTCACTCTGAGCCTCAGTTTCTTACATTGTGAAAAATAATGTGCCAAGACACACCAAATGCTTGTGCACTCTCTAGCAGTGGAATGTGTCCGTGTGTCCAACTGGCCTGTGGCTCATGGGGGGCTAGCTTTGCCCTCCTGTGTCCTCATGTTACCTAGTTCTGGCATCTCTGAGACTCCAGAACTTGCCTTTTTTTCTTAAACTTTGGGTGCTCGGGAGAACTCAGGAGGGAACACAGATCCTCCCAAGGGCTCTCAATACTCAGCTAAATATTTACTTTGGACAAGATAACAGAACCTCCTACTGGGCCTCCCTCAGCGTGCCCATGTAGAAGTGCCCAGATGGGTGTCTGAGTGACAATGGGCAGCTCCATCCACAAGGAATTTCCTGATGGCCAGGCTTCAGCCGGAAGACACAAGGTCAGTAATTCCAGGAAACGCCCCACCTGTTGGACAAGATGACTTTACAAATAACCACGGAGGTGGGGGCAGTGGCCTGAAGTGAGCCTGGAAAATCAATCAGGAATGAGAGCTGGCATTTCACATGGAGAAAAGAAAACTGCCGTGGAACCTGACTGCAAGGTGGTCCTCGCACGTCCCAGCTGTCACCAGATCCCACACCTCCTCGTGGAGGTCCTGTATTCACTCCTGTCTTGACCTGGAATCCCGGATTTAAGATCTTTGCCTTTACGTTAAATAATTGTCTCAGCAAGGGTCCTATTAGAATGTCTCCTCACATAGGCATGTTAACTAACATAGGTTTATTTGTACTAGAATAGCACAAATAACTACCAAATCTTAAGTACATGCTCTGTGCTAGACATTGTGCTGGGGCATGTGTGTATCAGGACATTTCCTCCCCCCAATAAGCTAATGAGGAGATACTGTTTATTCTCATGTTATGTAGAGGGAAGAGATAAAGGGAGATAATGAAATGTAACTAAGTTCCCAAAGCTAGTGAGGGTCAGAGCTCAGCTTCAGACTCAGGGCTGAGGCCAAAGTGGAGTCGATAGTCTTGCTGCTGAAAGTGTGCTCTTTGGAACCAGGGTAAAGGCATCTTGTCAGAAATGCAGCATTGGGGCCCACCCCAGACTTCCTGAGTTGAAATCTGCATTTTGAGAAGGTCCCCGGGTGGATTCATGCACACACTGAAGTTTGAGAAGCTGCATCATCAGACTTTAAAAGCCTATCTTTCCCTATTTGCACACCCATGTTCATAGCAGCATTATTCACAATAACCAAGAGGTAAAAACAACCCAAGAGGCCATTGATGGATTAATGAGTATAGAAAATGTAGGATATGCATACAATGGGTCATTATTTAGTCTTAAGAAAGGAAGGAAATTCTGATGCATATTACCACATAGATTCATTTTTAGGACATTATGCTAAGTGAAAGAAACCAGTCACCAAAAGGCAAATACTGTGTGATTTCATTTATGTGAAGTACTTAGAATAGTCAAAATTAGAGAGACAGGAAGTAGAACGGTGGTTGCCAGGTGCTGGGGGAGGGGGCAAGGGGACGTTGCTATTTAATAGATATGGATTTTCAGTTTTGCAAGATGAAAAATTCTGCAGATTGTTTGAATGACCCTGAATACATTTAACACTACTTAGAAATTGTCAAAATGGTGAATTTTATTTAAAAAACTATTAAAAAAATTTCATTACCATGCATTTTATTTAACATGGAAGAAAGTGAGCCATGGGAGCTGGGAGGCAGCTTAGAGCAGTGTAAGCTGATCAGGCAGGCTCAAGCACACTGCTCTGAGGGGGTCTTTGGCCTTCGGGCTGTATGTAGATATTATATCTTGAATGCAAATCTAGGGAGGAAAAGAGGGCCCTTTGGGGGTGGTGATGGGATCTTCCAGAAGGATCAAGTTCAAATTCTGCTAGCAGTTCCAGGAGGTGAGTGGCTTATCTCCTGACAGTCTGTGCCACCAGGCAGATGGAGAGGTTTGGTTAGGGTCATTGTGCTGAGGGCCAGCCTGGCGCAGCAGGAGAGAACGGCTGCAACCACGATACTAGGACACTCTGGAGCACAGGTAAAGCTAACCCCAGTGCTGAGATCACCTCATGCTCTGGCTTCCTCCCCACATGCCAGGGGTAACTAGAGCTCTGCACTGACCCTGTGAATCCATAGGAAATGTGAGCATCTGCCTCCTCTAGGTATAGATGAGCAAGCTGCTGCACCTGATTGTATGGGTTACACCTGCACACTGGAGTTTGGGAGACACACAGAGTGCACGACCCAAGTCATGGGAGGTATAACAAAAAAGACAAAGGAAACCTAGGTGAAACTGCGAAAGACACAAAAACAGAAAATAGGAAGTGCATAAAGTCATAAAACAAAATCCTGAAAGTAGGATCAAACATTTTAAATATGACATTAAGTATGAATAAATTATACTCCACAATCAGTCAGGTTTACTCAGATTTGATTTCAAAGGGAAAAAAGGCTTTAAACACATGTTGTTTATATACAAACTATTAAAGCAAAGTGATATATGAAAGGCTAAACAAAAAATAAAAGACAAAGATAGGAGAACACAAATCAAAAACAGGGTTGAGAATTGGAATAGAAGACAATGAATTAAAATTAAAAAGTACTGAGCACAGCAAAAAGAGAGAGCTACAATGCTAAAATGAATAAATGAAGCTGTAACAATGGTGACAGACTAAATAACATAGCACTGAAATACTTTTTAAAAAATCAGAAAAAAAACATTACAGGAGGAGAAATAATAGCAAACAGTGATACAACATTTAATAGATGCCAGGGCCTGTTCTAAGGCTGTATATAATATTAACTAATTTAATTATCATAGCAGCCATAGGAAATCAGTACTATTATAATCATTGTTTTAGAGAGGAAGAAACTGAGACACAGAGAATTATTACATCAGTCTCCCAAGATTTCATAACCCCTGACATACTTTGTCTCTGCTACATGGAATAGGCTAAGGAAGAAATAACTCCATAATATATAAAGAAATAAAAATAAAAATAATAAAATAATACTAATGGAGTACTTATCACCCATGTAGTTAAGGGAAACTCCTATTAACTTACCAAAGGCAAAATGACCTGGATAATTTGTCAGCAAAAAGCTTAGATGACATCTAGGACTCCTCCAGCTCTATCAGTCTATTATCACCCACACGATTAACACCTTTTGAAATGTGTTCCTGTCTGATGCTCAAGTTAAAATGAATCCTTTGAGAACATCTGTCCTCAATCTTCAAAATCTGCCGTAGAGTCATTGTTGTCAGTTTCACTGAGTAGAGCCTCAGTCGTGGAGTCGTAGTTAAGGAGGGAAGTCTGGGGGTTGTTTCCTTGGTTTCAGACAAGCTGTAACCCAGTAGATACACTAATATCCGTTTATGTTTACCACTCCCTACCCGCATTTGTAACATTTTCTCAAAGACCCTCAAAAAAATTTTTTATGCAATTTCCGTCTGTGACATTCCCAGGAAATCAGAAAAATGTGACAGAGAAAAATATTGCAGATGTGGATTTACTCACCAAAGGATGAACAATAGACTCTGAATTCAAGGTCTTTGTAACTTGGGAATAATAAATCACAATGATCATGAAGCACAACGTGGTTCTCCTTGGATATTTCATTTCTTCAAGTTTGAGTTGCTTTACCTGAAATGGAAATACGATGGTTTAGATATAGAACAAGTTATTTATAAAATGTGGAGAGAACTTGCAAAACTCTATCTTGAAAGCCACACTGCAAAAGGACCTTTTCCACAGGGAAAATAAGGAGCATAAATGTATCAACTCTAGAGTCCCTGCTCCAGACCCATGGGTGAGGAAACGTCAGGAGAGATGGAGGATGGTCCCTGTAAATAGAAGAAAGGTGGCTGACTTTGAGGTTCAATTCCTATTTACATGGAGAAGGAGAGAGAGAAGGAATCAGAAACGAGAAAGAGGAAAGAGAAGGAAAGCAAGAAAAGGGGAAAGAGTATTCAGTAAGAAATACTTTTAACATTGGGATCCAGAACACATAATTATGAACAAAAGGATTTATAGATTAACACTTACCTTTGCTACATAGAACACTCTGTGATATTTTCAATTCTAGTCTACCCTATCTTAGCCTATGTATTTTTTAATTCTGGTAGCAACCCATTAAATTGATTCCATGACCCATATCAATGGGCTACAACCCATAAGTATGGGAAATCCTGGACTTAAATCATAAAATTATAAGTTGTATTTTGTATTCTTTTTATAGTCAAAAAGGTGTTAATTTGTATTATATAATGTAGAACATAAATATCATAATGTATTTCATCCTATGTATTGATCTTTGATAGATATCTTTTTTGTTATGTGGCATTTAAGAAGTAGAGAATCAGTTGGAAGAATCCCAACCCTCATGGGTCTGGGGACCAGGACAAACTACCTTGTAGAAACTCCTTTCCTTACTCACTTTTCCATGTCAGATAGGGGTTAGGACCCAGGATCACCATAATCTGTGTTTCCTTGAATAAGTCACTTCTCTGAGTCCAAGTTCCCCAATCTGTGAAGTGGGGATAATTATATAGTACCTCCTCTAATTTTCTTACAGATTTTTCTGAGACTCCACCATAATTCAAAGCTGTGAAGAGCTCCAGAGGTGCAGTCTGCTATGGTTCTCACCCCGATTGTTAGTGGAATCCAGAGGGCAACCACCAGGAAGGGCAGTCCTTGGCCCAGGCACTCCGAAGAGGGCCTGAGGACTGTGGCCAGGATAATACAGAAATGACAGCCAAGACGTACATGCTGGGGAGAATTGTGTTTCAATCACCAGCTGCCAGCCACCTCCTTTTCCTCTTCTCCATTGAAAAGAGGAAAATATAAGGCCCTGGAAAACTGATCCAATTGGCAAACCTGGCAATCAAATACACTTTTAAAATTCTGTAACTCATTTTTTTTAGAAAATGCTTTGCAATTTAGGTTACAGAAACATATATTTAACATCAGATGCATTTACTATAGGGAAATCATAGCAACTCATGGCTTAGTTCACTGTTAGAGGATTTTTCTCCCTTGTTGAAAGGGAGTGGGCTTTTGTGGATACTGGGCAGACTGATTTAGCCTGTGATAGCAGCTGTTCCTGGGATGGATCAAGCATGTAGGAGGCAACCTAATTTTTTTTAGGCCCCAACTTCATGCACTGTGTTAGCTGGTTCCATGGTGAGGCAGTTAATCAAGGGATGAGACTTATTAACTGACTAGTTAGTAAACTAGTGTGTGAACCTCCTTTAGTATGTGACTCCCAGGAAGGAACTCAGGTATTAGAGGGACTCAGGCTGACTCCATAGCTTTCCACCATCTCCCAGTGTTGGCTGTTTGTTGAGTGAGCAAGAACTATATTGTCCCTAAATGGTTGTGCCTGGTCCTTTTGTAAAGGCCACCAGCCATGTCCACTATCCCCATTTTCCTTCCTCCAGTCTCCCCCAGAACAATTCCTGATTAAATCAACATTCTTTTTCACAATGGATGTATTTGGTGACTACAAAATCACAAGTCAATAGAAATAGGGAAGAGGGAGCCCCCCACTGTGGGAGAAGGTTCTCTGGATGCAGAAGAGTGACAACAGTTACGTATGGTCATCAGTCACACACAAGGGTGAGGGGTTTGCCACCTGAAAGGAGAATGCCACTACCTTGAGAGAGAGGTAATTTCAAAATATCTGACAACCAATATGTCATGAACCTGACCAATTTGGACAGTGATACCAGTTGAAGATCAGTATAGCTTTTGAGGTTGCTATTACATTTAGGGGGAGACCTGAACACAAACTTTTCTCACCTAACCCTCCAGCTCACAGCTGTTCTTGTCCATGAAGAAGCCAGTAGAAGCTGTTTAACTTGGCTAATGGAGGCAAAAATCCTAATTTATCCAGTTAAAAGCAAAGAGCGTTACTCCACATTCAAGGCCATGTGTCTTCAGTAGGGTTCCCTTAATCATAAATCCCCTAGAAGTTCATTTTTATTACAAATTCCTGGAATAAAGGACAGACCATTGCTAAGAGACACAGACAAACAGGCAGAGAGAGAGAGAGAGAGAGAGAGAGAGAGATGATCCAATATCATTCCCAATTTCTTTCTCTTTTAAAATGATAAGTCCTGAACACTCTGTGCTAAAACATACCAACCTGTGAGAGCCAGCTATATCTTAGAAAAAGCTGGGAAATGTGATCTCATGACCAGTCCTAACCCTGTGGTGACGACTGACTTCCTGGTTTCCTCTGACTCTATTTTCCTGTCTGTGAAGTTAGAGGAGAGGGAGGGGCAAGTTTAGCTGCCTGACATCATTTGCCAAGAATAGGCTGTCAGGATTCTCAGAAGTACAGCATTTGGAGGATGAGGGAGGTCTAGGTTCCTTGAAACAGTGTATGATGACATTCTCCTACAGAGTGGTCATGTGTCAGGAGCATTATTGTGAAAAAGACCTGAAACACATCAGGAAACTGTTCTCCCCAGTCTTAGAAATAAGCAGGGCTTAAGATCAGCTCCTCTTTCAGAAATACTTCATCAACCTTGACCTACCCAGGCTTGCAGTAGGCAAGAGAATAAATGAGCTTGTGTATACCTTGCAAGTTCAAAGCATGTTCATCAAATGACTACATCTGTGAGGTCATCATCAAATTGGGATTCCAAGCTCTTTTGAAATAGGGCACTAGTAGGATTGTTTCTGGAAATAATTTATTTCCTAAACTATACACAGCTCTGCCTTCCTGTGCTCTCTTGGAATCCTTGGCCCCTCTCCCCTGGGGAGCCCAGCCTGATACTCTCCTTGGCTCCTCTTGGGGACTAGGAAAGTGAGAGGTGAAAGTGAGCCCGCATTTGATCAGCCTCTGGCCAGGTGTCTTCTCCTTCCTTCAGCCTGGGGCTCTGCTCCTGGCTCTAGCCTAGCACACGGCCCCTGCCAGCATTGCCAGGGACTGCCACCTAAGGCAGTTTCATGGAGCATTTGTGTAACATCTGTTTCAGTGTTTTTTATCCCTGGCTGTGCCTCAGAACCATCACCCGGGGAGTTTCTTTTGTTTGTTTATTGTTGCAATATCACCCTAGAGCAATTAAGTCCGAATTTCTAGGGGATAGGAGCTGAGAATCTATATCCACCCCAGCTGCTTCTGACACACAGCAGGGTTGAGGTCTCTAGACCCACATCTTTAGCATTCCATTGCACTTTTTGTGTTGCTCTGCATACACCCAGTCCTTCCCATCACCAGCCTATAGCTCCCCTTCTACTAAATAAACTATATAAAACTAGTCTTCGAGGGGATGCATTTAGGAGGCAATCAATCAATGGTGGATGAATGAATGGGAGTATAGACTCGGAGGTGATCAATTCAATGGTTTTGATGCAATTCAATAGCCAACATGAGATATACAACAGAAGCCACAAGTGGCTCATGAAACTGCGAAACATCACCCTTTGGGCTGCTTTTTGCCCTTTGAAACAGAGGCAGCTGCCTCTGCATATGCTGCTCTCCTTTGCCTGAAATTCTCTTTTGTGAGATTGTGTGATATATTACCTCAGATAGTATCAAATGTGCACTTACAGGCCAACAAATATAGGCTACTTTTTACTGGCCCAAAATTGTGCTATGCATTCACAAATTGAAATGAGTCACGGCCCTTGTGCCTAAGAAGCTCTCAATCTTGTTGGGAAGGCATGAAACATACATTTAGGAAGTATAGACTACAAGGAGAATGTAAGCAACACTAAATGCCTGGTATGTGCCAGACACAGTGCTAAGTACAATAAATGTTAATTCACTTATTTACCTCTCAAAGTAACTCTGTGAGGTAGGTATTTTAATCCTAATTCATAGATGAGAAAATAAAGTCCCATAGAGGTTACAGAACTTACTCAGGCCACCCAGCTAGTAGGTAGCCAGGTCGGATCTGCCTCCAAGTTGCCCTGTGGCCAAAGTGACTTGGAGTGTACAAGCGATAAGCATGAAGAGTTGAGAAGAGGGAGAATTTGGGTGAGCTTTGGAGTAACGGGGGTCACTGTCCAGGCCCTGAAGGATGATGGGCAATGTTTTGATGTCTAATGGAGAAAGAAAAGAGAGTTTTGGAAAAAGGAGGCAGCGTAAGCAGAGGAAGCTATCTCTGTTTCAAAGAGAGTAAAGACCTCCACAGCGTGCTTTGTGGAAGCAGTCCTGTGAGCCACCTGTGAAAGGTCCCTTCAGGAACTTGTCCAGCCACTGTGATACCGGCTCAGCCATGGTGCTTGGGAGGGCATTGTTCCCCTGAACAATCACTGTCACCAAAAAAGACAGAGCTATTTTAACTCTAATTTGGAAAGAAAATGAATGTGATGGCCTTAGGCTCAGGTGATTCCCTCCTTCCTGTAGAAAAAAGAACAGCAACTTTGAAGCAAAACAGGCTTGTGTTCTGATTCCAACTCTACCACTAATAACAATGAACAAGACATTTAACACTGCTGAGCCTCAGTTTCCTGCCATGAATAACGAGGGTCGCAGTGCCCATCTTGCAGCATTGTCATAAAGATTAGAGGTCATGCCCAGGAAGCACAGCTTGGTCACAGCTGGAATTTGTTATGGGCTGAGTGTGTCTGCCCAAAGTTGATATGTTGAAATCCTAACCCCCGATACCTCAGAATGTGACCTTATTTAG